AATTTTCCAACAAATACCAAGTTTATCACTCAACCAAAATACGCCTTAGTAGAATTTCCCAATTCCAAACTTGATTCTGAACTTGCAGAACTTCAACCCAAGATCATTCCTATACCAATCAAGGAGCAAACATTTCCCTTTGATGTTAAGGAGCTTCTTGCGGAAAATGTTGCAAAAGCCGCCAAAATTAACAAAAAAAACACAAAAATTTCAATCAAGCGTAGAGCTCTTCCTTTAATACCGGCCTACAGCATGACAACACATAAAAGTCAAGGTCAAACACTCAGTAAAATTATCATTGATCTCGTCATGCCGCCGGGTCCGGTTGAAGTCGCATCGGTTTACGTTCCATTATCTCGAGTGAAACGCTTGGATGATTTACTGATCATACGTCCTTTTGAATTCGCAGCTCTTCAAGTGAAACCATCAACAGCGCAGCGCGAAGAGCTCAAAAGATTGGATCGAATCGCAAAAACTACTCCTAAACGTTTTCCAATATCTATGTAGAACCAACATTTTTTAGCAATCACACGATCTTTGAACTAATCTGACAGCTAAAAAATATTTACTATGCATTGCATGTTTCATTTGTCTTCCACTTTATCATATTCTATTAATATTTAATAAAACTTGTATGACTCACTTCTTGAAACAAAAACTGCTTACCTATACATCCTACACCCAGTCAGAAACATACGATCATAACAATACCTCAGACAACATACTAACATGTCACAGTATATGACACCATAGTTTGCAAGAGTACATGAATTTCGCTGTATCTCATAAATATTTATAAAACGTATGCGATTCTTCAACATATAGGCTTTTGAAACCTTCGGTCAACCCTTACAAAAAAACTAATTTTCTTCTAAAATAGTCTCTCTCTCTCCTAAAAAAAAGCAAAAAGCAAAAAGCAAAAAGCAAAAAGCAAAAAGCAAAATTTCAAAAATCTGACAACACCATCGTGCTCCCCGACCCCGATTACCTTCGGTCAAACCTATCCCTACAGATTTTGTTTGAGGTTAGTTAAGTTTATTCATCTGCTTTCCTATTGGACGAACGAACGAAACAACTCATTTCGGCGTAAGACCCTCCTTTCAGTAGAGCGAATATTAATAGTATTTTTTTTCTGATCATTTTTCTCATTTATTAATTGGTAAATATTTCTTACTAATGTTGGAAATGAGTTAGTTTTATGCAATTTATGTTAAACCAAATTAAACGTACACACTAAATAAAAATGCGTCGACTTTATGCGGCACGAATTTTTTGTGTTGTGCTCTAAATTAGAAAAATGTGTTGCGAATTTTTGTGTCGCACTTATAATTAAAAAAATGTGTCGCATATTTTTCGCGTTCTGTCTGTTGACTAGCGTTCACCGTTTTGTTATGAGCATACAGCGACATATAAGCAGCATCGCTGAACGCATGAAAGATAAGTTTTCAAAATAAAATTTTCTTTTAGGTTAATTCTTGATTGCTTTTCAATCAAGGAAATGCCATCCCGATCCATGATCTGGGAAGGACTACACTGGATGGTCTATTGGGATTAGGACCAATGCCAAATGAGCCAGATCTGATGAGATTAAATTTTCAAAAAATAAGGAAATATATTAAATTAAATTCAAAAAATATTGAAATATGCGTTTCGAAAACGACCAATAGAAAATGTGTCGGATATGTTGTGAAAAATGCGTTGTCGTCTTGCTGGACAGAATGTGTCGCAACGAGCACCTCGTGTCGTGCTTGAATGTGTCATGCTTTGTGTCGTAGTTTACGACACATCCGACACATTTTTATTTAGAGTGTATGCGCAACGATTGATATGTGTTAACATTTATCGTTTATGAATTGGGTTAATTGATATTTTAAAGTACGCGCATTAAAAATCAATTTTATCATCAAATCCTAATGGAACATTAATAATGACAATATTTACAATTACAAAAAATGAAGAATGATGAATCATTGTTGGAAACTTTCTTGAAAGGAATGTTTCTGAATAAACCAATTCGAATAATTGCTATTTCGTCGTTGTGTTGACGACATCTGTAGTTAATATTGTGTAACCATTGAAGGTTGTTCAAAAATGAATGACCAATGACTATTGGTCAATATCGTCTTCAACTGAATGTCCTTTATTTTATTTATTATTTATGAGTTTGTCGTATAAGTCATTTATTCACGGTATTCATATATTTCTTGACCATTTTTATCCTCTATATGTTCATTTAGTTATTAAATTATCGTCATGTCCAAATCAAATTATTCATATCATTCATCATCTAGTCGTTCACCATCTCGTTCATATTATTTATCATCTCATCATTCACCATTGTAACGGTATTTACCGTTACGGTTCACTTTATGTACTTTATCCTCTTCGCTGTATCGTATGTTTGTGCATTGACCTGATGAACTCTCATTGTTCTATTGCGTGACCGTTCCCTCTTTGTCTATATCCACCCAAGCGTGATCACTCTCGCGTATATAAGGGAATGTAACTAAAGGAAATGCACGACTAGAGATGTGCAGATGAAACAATACACCATTATGCCGACGGGCATAGGCGACACTCTCTATGTTCGTCACAAACATCACATCAACCACATGAAAAACATTTAACATTTCATATCAACTCGTCAGATTATGAAGCTGCATTTGTGAATAATGAAACATCAACAAATACAATCAACAAATTATTGAATCACATGAAAATATTCAAACAGTATTCGATTGATACAGAATCTGAACGCGCAAATAATCAACTATCATTAATCCAAATTAACTCAATAACCATTACACCACCATCACTTGTAATGTTATTCGAGCTGGAACAGTTGCCAGATCGAAATTCACAAAAGTATGAGAATATTCTTCAATTGTTTCAAATAATTTTTAGGACAAACAACAAAATTTATTCGTGGGAAAAGATGCAAATAGAACTTGAACCAGTAAAAGAATTTCTTGTTTTACCAATTCCAGCAATGTTAATCGATATTCAACCACATTTTTCTATGTGGTATAGTTGGGCACGGACCCAGTGCGGGGTCCAGAGCCTGTCTCATCGAAATGATAAGATTAATGATAATGAAATTATCCAACAACATAATCAACATCCATCATGTGATTGTCATCCGTCATCACCATACAAAATCAATAAAGTCTGGTCTCTCCAAAATTCACTTAAGTATGCCCAGGAGAATGAATCTTAGCCTAGGATCCGATGAGCTCCGATCGGTTCCTATTGGAATCCGACGGAGCTCTTCGGAAGGCGCAAGGAAACTATCGGATTATCGTCGGATTCCTGGTTCCGGAATCGATATAGGATCCTAATATCGGAAACTAATATAATCCGACAGTAACCGTCAATCGGAACCGGAATACTTCGGATTTCATTGGTTCCGACATTGATTCCTCAATCAGGAATCCAACGGGATTTCGTCGGATGGTAGGACCCCATAGAATCCGATGGGATTTGGTATCGGATTCATTCACCTGGGTGCATGTAATTTATTTTTAGACAAATCATGTCGATGAAGCCATTGGTCATCAAGTTTAACATCGAGTCATTCATCTTTATCACGTGTTGATCGAATCAATATGATTCATTATGCTACACATGATGTTATCGCTGCTACATTGTTAATACGACCTATTACTGAACGATGGGCATTTGAAAAACTAAAAATTATAAAAATGAATGAAATGTTCATCGCATTGAATTCAATTAAACTTCCACCATTACCAACATCGAAAAATAAAAAAATCAAGAACATCAACACGCAAAAATTAAATACAATATTACGATGCAATGATCCAGATGTAGAAGACATTTCATGGGATGATGAAATATATTTAAACCAACTAGTGAAACCAAATGATATTGACTATATACCGGTCAACAATCGTTTATTAAAGGACAATGAATTAGTTGTCAACAACCATTATATGATTGATGATGTCAATGATAAAGAAGAAACAGCACCAACAACGATTCGTAAAAGCTCGCCATCGAAGAAATCATGAAAGAAATACGGCACTTAAAAAGCACCGTTATTATTATTCAATTAAACGAACATGATATCCTCGTTTCCCAATGCGAATGGTGCGACAAATTCTTCGATTATATAGTATTTATTATAAACATGTTCGCAATGATGGAGCAGAATTATTAATTGGCCTGAAAGATCGATAAAGTCGAGATACAGCTCAATATCAATTACCAAGGAACATCTTCAATAGACCGAATTATTATCATTATAGAAAACATCATCAGCATCATCATTAACATCATCATCATCAACATCAATATCATCGTGAACAATAAAAACAATATTCTTGTCGTTATATTTTTTGTTTTTTCTCTTTTTTCTGATATTTTTTTCTTTTCTCTCGGTGATAAATGAAAATGTTTTCTTCGTTTTCCTACCTGCTGCTTTTATGTCAAATGATTTTTCTTGTCTATGACTTTCTTTCGTTTATTTCATTTTCTTCTTGTTATTATTGTGTTGTTACAGTTTCCCATAAAAAAAACTTATTTTGTATCCAAAGATCTTTTTCTTGGGGGATAAGGGTGTTAGGTCTAACATCTTTATCCATATGATGGAGGTCAACACTCTCTTGTTTTATTTTGTTTCCTCTCGTTCATGCCCCTTTTGTTCATTGTTATGAAGCAGCTGTGTCTTTTACGTAAATAAAGATACCCCAGTGAACTCAAGGCATAACAATAATAAACATAAAATGCGTTTTATTGAACCGCACATCGCTTCTAACTATGCGCAAAAACTTAAATTCGTAGCTTACCTCAGCACTGCTTCATAGTATCTAGCCGATCGTGAATGAACAGATGGAAAGTACAGAACGAGAAAGCGATTGGAGATGAGACAGAGAGAGTGAAAGAAGTGTTACTTTATTGTTATCGCCATCGTGAAGTGGACGAAAGCGCATGACAGAATAAGATAAAAATTATTTCAACCTCGGACGGTTGATGAACTATGTCGTTAACGTCTCGAAAAGAATAAAATGCAAAATGCAAAATAAGAAATAAGAAATAACTAGTTGCTTACTAAAACTTCAGAAAATAATTTAACTCCACATTGTGCTTTAGAAATAATTACAAGTGGCAAACAAATAGATTAAATTACCTTTTTTGTTCAATCATAAGTTATAACGTATATATTTTTGCAAAGGTGAAGAATACGAGCAAATAGATACCGTGTCATAGCATTCAGCCAAAGCGAAATATATATGTACCTTATATAATATCTTAAAGCGATCTGCAATTATCGATAATCGCAGCAAAAAGTAACAGAAATACTGCTCACTCGAATTTTTAAGCAAAAAAATCGGGACGCTTTTAATGATTTTAATGAAAATTTTCGAAGAAACTGTGCTAGCATTTTGAAATTCTAAATATTGCTATAAAACAGTTTAAATGATTTGTTTTCCAAAAATTAGCAAACTTAGACCTTTTTTAACGGCTTTTAAGTATCATTTTTAAAAGGATCGTTTAAACGCGTTGAAACTGGAAATATTGCTAATAAATCGGTTAAAAAAAATGAAAACGCGATAAACGCTTGATTAACGCATTTAAACGCGGTTTTACCGTTAATTGCCTGCCTGGGTAATAACACGAAAAAAATGAAGATTCTTTTAGTGCGAATTTTATTGCAGCAGTTTACTGAAAATAAACTATTTTGGAAAATATTTCAAAAGTCATCAAAATCACATACAATATCAGCAGTGTCCAAAGACTGAGAAATAGGAATTTCCTAATGTGTCGAGGAATTGTCAGTGCCGCTGTGATAATTCCAACAGGAAATGGGAATCAACTATAGATTCCCTCACAGTTCCACCATTTACGAAAGTTGAGATATTGCTGTTTTAAAAATAATTTTTGTTGTTACACAATTTTTCAAGTGAAAATGAGTGTAAGAACAAAAATTATCGTGAATATTCCATATTTTTACCTTTAGTATGCAAGGAACTGTACAGCCAAAACGGCTAACGGTCAACCAACATGATTGAAGTAGAAGTTGTTTTGTTTTCAAAACAAACTATACCATCTTGTAAAACACAACTTTCTGCATAAGAAACTCTATTTTGATTGGTNCACAGCGTAGTTCGCAGCATTTACCACTTCTCTCGCATCTACTGAGAACGAAGGACCTTTTTTGTCTGTGTGTTACCGACCAGTATTTCACCTATAGAATCTAAACAGCCCAACGATTGAGGCTCAAACTTTCAGGTATTATAGAAGTTGTCGACTTACATAAGTGTTGAAATTTACAAGCTTTTTCCTTTTACCATTATCGAGATACAATCGTTCGAAGTTGAAAAAACGTCCGTGCGTTACCTGCGTTTCGGCTGTGTAGGGGAATTGATGAGGAATTCCTAATCCTCTGTCCTTGAACACCCCTCATGTGATGGATAATAAAATTGATAATAAAAACTAGTTAAACTTCTGATCACAGATTTAGTCAGATTCTTCGATTTTTTAAGGTTTGAATCCTTCTAATAGAATTTTTCTTTCATTAAAATCTATTCAACTTTCTCTTCTTGGAAATGATTGTGTTGATTTCTAATTTGAAACTGGATTTCTCTTGATTGCGTGTTCAAAATCCATATCAACTCGATTATTTTTTGAAAAACGATACTTCTTGATGGAATATATCTACTGTGCCGATATTGATGGCACGCTTCGATGATTCTCATTTCTTCTCCTTTTGTTCTCTTTCCATTGTTCTAATATATCTCTCTCCTGTCTCTCTCCTATTTCTCTCGTATATATACGTGTGTTATGTATGAAGTTGTTACATACTCGATATGTGAAGAAGCGAATAAACATCATTGCCCAGAGTGGCGGTAAGCTACTCCGCCTCTATCCAGTTTGTCTTAATACATCAACTATTAAGAGTCCTGTTTATCGTTACATCTACCCCGTAAAAAATTAATGCAAATCGTATTTTTGATCTAAAACAAAGAGTTAATGGTCAGAAGAAGTTTTCTTGGATATATATGAATATTACAAGAACAGACATTTATAATACAAACAAAAATCTAATATGAAGATACAAACTCTTTATATACTTTTTGAGTCTTTTTAATACATGCTTGAATAACACTTAATGGTAAACCATTTAAAACTTCATCGAAAGCATTTTCTAGTGTGCCAATAATCTATATTCCCAGATATTCAGAAAATGATGTGTACCTTTTTATGAATGATACACCTCTCTTGATTCAGATATCTACGTTTCCCCATTATGGAATTGCTTCTTATTCTTTATATGGATAATTAGAGTAGTCGACAAGAACGATTAGATATTACGACGTTCATAAAAGCATTAGTGCAAGGTTAGGTCATAATAAGAAAGAATATCTTCTGGATACTATCAGTGCATCATTAGATCAAAGATGACATGGATGAGCTTAAGAGTTTATGTCAATCAATGAAATAATCGAAAAGGCCTAAATTATTCTTTATTTAGTTCATAATTTCCTTTTATAGTAATGAAAACAAATATAGAAGAAAATAGAGAAAGAGAAAAGAGCGAGAGTATAAAAGAATGGTGATATAGTAGAATAGGAGAGTACTTGGATTAGAGAAAGGGGAGATAATTCTGGAGCAGTATTGAGAAGGAGTGATATAGATAATTGAAAGAAAAGAGTTACTGAGTTAGAAATATTAAATAGACGTTATAACTTAAAATCGTGAAACGATAATCGTTCTCCATTTATTATTATTGTACGTATTGTAATTATTTATCAATTGTTATTATCTGTGTGTGCTCATATTGTTATTAAAATAAATGTCCCCAAAACCCGTAACGTCATATTTTGATTTATCAATTCACCCAGAACCAAAGAAAAATAACCCACAAAATATTTTGTTACATCTAGCTCATATTGTGATTTAGGATCCTTTTTTATATTATAAATGTCTAGTCTAGTAATATTTATATATATCCAAAAAACTTCTTCTGACCACCAACTCTTTGTTTTAGATCAAAAATACGATTTCCATTATTTTTTTTCCGTGGCAGTAAGATTGTGCTACGTTTGATGGGGTAAAATCGTGATTTTCGCACGTAAGTGAAATTAGTATCGTATTCGAGTAAAACTTGTCGATACTCTTGTGAGCTGATGTTCCAACGCGCATGCGCATGTTCCTAGTGAAATTTCATATGTTCTATCAAATGGCAATTTGAATTAACTAGATCTCGACGCGTTCTCCTACAGTTTCGAAAAATTCAAAGAAATCCTGGAATTCCTTTTGTTGAATCTGTCAATATTCATTCCAAGAAATATTTCATCGAATTGTAAAAACAGATTTTTCGTCTCCATGGTAAGGGTCCTAAAATCTCAAAAGACTGTATTTCTCTATGAAATGCTGGCACCATATTCGATTAAAAGTTGCCAATATTCGTTAAAGGTATTGCTATAAGCGTTCCACTCATGATAAAAACACAAATCTAGGAGATCTATTTAACGATGTCTGCTGATTTTTCATAGCTTATAGTAGGATTTTTTAGGTTTCTTTGGCATTATTCTATCATTTCTGAAGTCTGATTTCAAGCTGCGGAAAATATGTGGATTTCACTGGATAGAGTTCGTCGAGTTCCACTTGAAACATAGGCACGAGAATGGAACATTGGTCGAAGTGAATATGACCACATTTTACAAAAAAAGGATACCAGGACTTTTTGGATTTTCCAAAATTTCCGGAGTATTGTTCGAGATCTCGTTATTTGAAATATACTACTCGATAGGTTATACGAAGTTCTATTAGTAATATGACTATGGACGTTAGAAAATCAGCTCAAATGAGTATCGACAGGTTTTACTCGAATACGATGCTAAATTCACCTAAATGCTGGTCATTTAATACTTTTCACTGCGATAGCTTGTGTAAACTATGATCTAAAAAATGCCACTATACTTTAAGCGAACAGCTAGTCGTCGTAAACGATCGTTTACGAAAGTATACGACAGAAAAACGGCAACCGTTTCCTGAATCATTTACGGTCATCGGTTCCGACCGTTTACTGTAATACCCGATAGTCGTTTACAGTTAGCGTTTAGTTACGATGGTCGTTTACGGAGATTTTTCGCGATCCTCATTTACGACCACCGTATTTCATCGTAGCACTTCGTTTACGATAACAATAAACGACTACAAAATACGATCGCCGTTTTTCACCGTGAGTGATAGGTATACGACCGTTTACGACTCAGGATGATCGAACTGGGTATGCTACAGATGATGACAATTGATATCAGAATTCTTACTTTTCATTTCTCTTTCATCGGTGTAGCAAAAAGAAATAGAGAACCTATTTCGTGCTTGTTATTTCAGTAGTTAATTACAGAGGCGATGTTTTTAAGATTTATATTATAGTGTCTACAGATTTTTTACTTGTAAAAGAATAAATATCATCACAGCTTCATGAAACAGGAGGGAGAGAACTTGGAGATCCGGTGCGCATCTTCAAAAATATAGGCAATCTAGAAAAAAAATTGGGATTTTGATTATGATCGGATCCGGAAAATCCCGGGAGTACGAAATCCGCTTTTCCACCTTATGTATCTATCTTAATTTCATTTTTTTGTAAAAATGAATCAACTATCTCTTTTGTTCAACAGTAACTATAAACGATATAAAAACTTATATCGGAAATACGTATATCAATTAGATATGCCACAGAAAATACTTTACTCTTTTCAAATATGGTCAGTAAAAATAAACGATAATTTCAATCAATATTCTGCAACTTTTTTTGTAGGATATCATATTATACTCATCATGATGATATGAACCTAGCCTAGTAATTCCTCCTAATGAAATCAGTATCATAATTTGAATCATAGAGAAAAAGTCAGTTAAATAGTTAATAGTAGAAAATCTTTTTTTACATGAGATTTCTTTGAACGAAAAACAATTCTTAGATTTTATTTTTGACGATAAAATAAAAAAGCAGAGATAGACAAATAGAGGGACTAAATTAAAAAACAAAAAAAAAACGAGCTATTTATCAGATAAAATCACTGTTCACCACCTGCGTCTTCATCAGCATTCGTTTGTTCTTCTTCACGTTCATCAGTTTCATCTAAAGAAGATTTTTTTTCTACAAAAATTGTCGAAAACGAAAAAAAACTATTACCATTAAGCAAGGCGCCATTACTGGCTTCTCCGCCCTCGTTCGTATGATTGTCCATCGTGACATTTAATTCTCCATGACCTGATTCCAAGTTTTCGAGATTTTGTTCTGAACTATGCACAATATCACCTGTTGATGTTCCCATATCAATACCACCTTCAACAGCCTTTTAATAAATACATAAATATTTTCTTTTTCTGTTTTTTTACAAAGAGACTAAATAAAAGTTCTACCTGTTTTAGTGCTTCAGCCAATTTATCATAATCATCGATGCGTTGATTAACAACATCTCGAATAATCGAGTCGAGAATAGTTCGCCCAAGAACTAATTGATTCACGTGTGTCATTGTCTTGTTCATTAACCACGGCATAAATGATGTTTCAATTTCTGGAAAAAAAATTCTAAATAACTTTCCTTTTTCATTTTCTATTAAATAAATACCATTTTCCACAGGATCATAGAAGTATCCATTTTCTCTTAGATTGTTAAATACACTTGGAACAAGATCTTGTAAATAAGCTTTGGCAAAAGCTCTAGCAGCTATCTTTTGTGCAACATCCTGTTCCAAACGAAGCGCTTCTTGTGCTTGTTTCATTCGACGTTCTTTTTCAGCTCTCAAACGTCTTTCTTGTTCTTCTAGTCTTTGTAATTCAATTAATTCAGCATTACGTATTTCTTCATATTCTCGTTGCTGTTCACGAATTTCAGCTAATTCTTCTTCTTCAGCAACTTCTATCAATGCTTGTTCAACTGTTTTACCAACTAGGGTTTCAACGATTGGTTTTACTTCGAGATCGAAATCAAATAACTGAAATGTTTATAAATTTATTTAAGATTAAAGTTAAAATCTCTAATTTCGTAGAGGCTTACATCGCCTGTTTCGATTTGAGTACAAATATCTTTACCAGTTGATTGTGGAATAAATAGAGGTGATGGTGGTCGATCAAGAAAAGCATCTGTTTGAACATCAACATCAGCTTCTTCAATTCGATCACTACAGTCAAAGGATTTATTTAGAAAAAAAATCAAAGCGATGTGATTCTTATGCTGTGTTCACATGCATGAACTTTTCTTATGGATGAGAAAAATATCTAAGGTACTAAGGTCTATGTTGTTCAATTCATGTTTTTTTCAATACACTATATAAAGATTCTAAGCTACAATCTACTTGAGAAGAGTTTTACATATTCTACTAACATTTTAATTGATAGTCATTCAATTCCGAGAAAAACTCAATAATATTTTTCGAATGAAGTATAAATAACGATAGAGATCATCAGTATTTCTCTCGTTCAACTAAATAGATAAAGATGATTTTTGAATGAATAAAAAACACATTTCTTTCATTGTTTTCAATGACGAATAGGTTTTCTATTGAAATAAGTCATAATCAAGAAAAAATCTCACCAATTCAATTTTCCTGATCAAAAGAATGTGTTTCAAAATGTATTGATAAAGTGTTCTGTATTCTAACATAGATAGTTCACTGATGAACTGAGAAAATCATGATTAATCAATTTTCTTTCATCAAATTCGATTTTAAATATTTTTTGATTAAAATTTTCTACCTTCGACTAATATGAAATCGTATGTTCAAATATAAATTTGTATGTTATTAGAAATCAATAATAATAAGTATATATAATAATTTTGATCATTCAATCAAAAAGAACTTATCATTGCTATAGCATCAAATAAATAATTAGTAGTAGAAAGAGATATAGCTGCTTCTCAAAAAAATGTTTTGTCTGTAAACTTTTAAAAAACGAAATGTAAAAAAGGGGTATTTCGATATAACGATAATGTTTCTTTAATAAACTCAAAGGGTATAAAATAAAAAACTTCGCAATCTGTTTACCTTAACTCTTCAAGATAAAGTTCCGTTTGTACATCAATATTTTTACGATTATGTACAGGATCAGGTGTTCTGGTTCGAATTTGTTCTCGGGCTTTTCGTCTTGCTAAAGCACGTCGTTTAGCTTCTTGTTGACGTTGTATTTCAATCGGATCCGGTTGTGCATGCTATACAATTGAAAGAAAAAGAACAACGATTTTTTACAATTCAAGTAACTTACTGCTGGAAGTGTATGAAGTGCATAAGTGTTACCACGAATAACTCGACGATCATACATTATATTTCCAAATATACTGTTTTCATCTCTTTATCAAACGCATAGAACATTCAAATCAACATGAGATTTCCAATTGATATTTCACTTACGATTGATTTATTACTGGTTGTCGGAATTTTTGTCGTTGCCCTTGCTGCTGTTGAACTGCTTTGGGTTGACTTGAAAATGTATAAGTTGAATTAGGAGGTTTTACAAGAGTTGCAGCCATCGTAGGAGGACAACTATTTACTATGCTGAAATAATAATTTACACAAAGAATAAGCTGAATAATGGTAAACATGAAAAACTAATGAAGAAATAGATCATGGTTATTGAATACGATCGAAAAACAAAATATGTTGTACGAATATGTGTATTATACCCAACAACCATAGCTCGTTAATGACAAGACATCATTATTACTGTTGCTAAAGTAGAGACTTCATCTATAGATTTGCATTTGAATTAACATTAACTATAAACATACCGATAATATTATAAATGAAATTCAGCAGATAGTCATTATAAATTTTCATTTTGATGCTAAAAACACAAGTTTTTATTGACTAATGGTTAGCGACCTCTGCTATCGTCGACTAGTGAAAATTGGTCTGTTTTGGAATATTAATTCTTTCGTAGAAGTTACTGAAGGAAACATTTTAATAATTTTATACAAAATATACTATTACATTTATCACTTTACAGGTATTCTATATGGATCTATGAGAGAGATTAATTTAAAAGCAAATACTTCCTACTCAGTGTTTCTAACAGCAAGGGTCCGCCTTTGTTACAAAATGTCCAAGACCCGTGCGATATTCATTTGACAATTTGTTTTACACTTTGCTGATGAAAACTAAGTGTCAAGCCAACCATTGCTGAGAATAATTTATACTTTGCTGCTCATTGAAAACATCTCTCGATCCCAGCTCGCGAATTTTGTGATTATTACTGATGTATTTATTATCTTGGCATTTTCTAATTAGCATTTGGATTTATTGGAATGTTTTTCTGCATTTCAAGTATTGCTATTCTTTTATACTTGACAGAAGCTGTCAGACAACGTATACAAATGCTTTTCTAATAATCATTGATCAAGACAAGTATAAATCGCAGTAATGTAGCAAATGGATTTATTTGGATTTCAGTACGGCGTATTAGTTTATTTTATACACATCGTCTTTACCTGTAAGCAATGCTTGGCTCTGTATACATGTATGCTTTTCATGTTTAAAGTAAACCAGTATCCATTTTAATTAGTTTTTATTTTATTTCGTCTTTGGAATATTAGAAAAAAGAATTGCTCATCGAACGCTATCAATTACTAAAAGCTGTATACTTTCTATTGGATCTTATATAGGCATGTAAGAGAAGCTTCGTAATCAGGAGAGTTACTTGAACTTTGCTTTAAAGTTAACGTAATTTTTTCCTGAAATTCTACTTGTAAACAGGTTATTTTTTCACACGAGAAAATCTATGTAAAACTTCTTTGTGAAAAATAGTCTTTAAAAAATAACTTTTCCTTGAAATAGATACATTCCGTTCGCAAAAGAAAATTCTCTGGAAACGTCTGCTTCACATAAGTATTTTCAGAGTAAAACTGCCTTCCTAGTCTCGATGTCTCAAGATATAGGAGAAGTATGAAGGAGATCGACAACTCAAAATCATGATTGAAGGGCTATTAGATTCACCAGATTACGTAGATTGCAGGGGCCTTTTGAAAATTAGTAAACAAAATCTGAATAAAATGCTGAAGAATTCGCTTGGCAAAACGCGAATTTCACAAGGGCGAGATGTAAACCTCTCTGTCAGTGGAATATCTGTAACAAATTTATATTAAATATTCTTTTTTCTTTTTTCTTTAATCAAATGCTAACACTGCACTTTGGAAACTTTTTGACACTCTGTTTAAAAAAACAGTGTCATGTTACACTTTGATTGCAAATATAAAGTGTCTTATGACTTTTTGTTTCAGATTTCTATTATAAATGCTGTTCCTACTGTTTGAACTAAAGATTCTACTATCCACATTCAAATAGTATTCATGATTAATTCCTAACACATTGAATTGAACTATCATCATTATCATTGATTAATAATATCATTATATTCTCATATAAAATAAATGAAAGTATAAATATGTATAATTTCTTTTATTTCTGAACTGCAAAAATAATTCTATCTAGATGAGTCGATTGAAACAAAGGATAGGTTAAAATGTTGTGGATGACTTCAATCACGTGAAATAATTGTTCATATTCATCACTATAAAAACTTCAGAGATAAAATTAATTCGGATCATTACTATTAGTTAGTTAATGATACTAAGCATTCTACAATAAAAATTTCATTATTGACATTGATGGTATTTGTAAATTTTGGTTTTAATTCTGTTGAAATTTCTTTATCAAACAGTTCATAATCAAGTTAGATATTCATCAATGTTTAACATGGGCAAAATTATTAAAAACATGACAACAATCTTAGTTAGAATCGTATTATACTATCAACTTATAACAAATAATAATTTTGAGATTTCACAATAAAAGAAAAAATATGATCTTAAAATAAATAAAAGCATCAAGATGGCACACATCATATTTGATTTATTATTCAATAGAGACAGAGAAAGATTTATGAAAAATATTATCATATAATGATTGATAGAATTTCTAATTAACGAAACTTTTATTCTTAACTCATAGAAATCAATACAAGAGGAAAACAATATTAAAATTCCACAATTTTTTTCAAGTATTATTATTGTTCACAAAAATAAGTAGATCTCTTTTTATTTCGAACATCTACCTTTCATTATTAATTTCTTTACAATAATAAATTATTTGCATTGATTGTATCGTTAGACAAAGAAAAATTGTGTTAACATAAACAACAATTTCACTATATCAGTGACTTGTATGTTTTACACATATGACTTTAGAAACAAAAGAAACTTTAATTATTCTTGTACTTACCAATTCATGAACCGGTTGGGTCATTGCACGATGTTTTCAGTAGTATTGTTTAGGTTTAGAGAAAATTTTATTTACATCTTCTAAACGACAAGACAGTTTGCTAATTTGTATGCACGAAAATAATCTAGAAACAGTACTTAGATCTGAAATCTCATGATATAAACTAAAAAAACATGAACACTGATGTTTCATGAAAATTAGAACATTTTTCTGTACGTGTCATGGAGTAGTACTATTTTTTACGAGTAATGTATTCAAGTCGAAATCGATCTAATATATTATCTTGTCTAGGCAATCATTTTTTCACTAGTTAATGCCTAATAATAATTTATTATAGATATCTCATGCATCAAATTGAGTTAATAATAAACCAAAAACTTGTTACCTTGAACAAGAAACTTTCGAGGCAAAACTCAGTATTAATGTAGATTTTGTTTTTGAAGTAAATACAGTTCAAACTTTTAGTAGATCATCCTTATTGTACGATTACTATGATTTGTAAAAAGTATAGCAACATAGTTTATTTTTTTATATAAGATGGAATTTGCATATCAGTGCAAGATTTGAACTATCTAACAAAACTTATTAAAATCATGAATGGACTTTTCAATGTGAAGTGCATGGAAGTCATAATAACGTTTATTCGTTTTATTGAGGGAGTAATCGCAGTACACAAGAATATAAACTATAGATGAGGTTGAACGCAAAAAGTGAAAGGACAAATGAATGGAAAAAAAAGCACGAATGTTGCTACAAAAGAAACAAAATGGATGAGTTCATGTAATAGCATAACTAGTTTGATATGCTGTTATCCAGTCTTTATTTTTTCCATGTGCCTAAAATGAAATCAATGAAAATTAACAGATAAAACAATAAAAAATATTTTACCTGTTTCATAATCCCATTTGGCTGAGAAAGTTCTCATAGGACCTTGTCTAGCAGCAATATGAAATTGCATTTGTTTCTTCAATTTTTCTTCCGAAAAACTATCAGGTCTGTCAAAATTGTAGACTAAAATAATTTAGATTTTGACATTAGAAAAAAAATTATTCATTTCATATAAATAAATACCAATGCGTCGCCATCCATCATAACCTAGAATGAAGCCAGCTAGGGCAATTAAAGTCCATCCTATAGCCCATTTCCATAGGCCAGTTGAAGCTGTAAATTCTGCAAATGTTTGACGAAAACTTGCTCGATACACTGAAGAAAAATCTTGATAAATAAATGAAAAATCAACCAAATAAAACTTACATTGTTTCTTTTCCTCCACTGATAATTGTTTCCAATCACCTTTTTCCTTGTTTCTTAATGCAGCGATTGCAGGTGTATCTGCTTCCCAACGAATACTTGGACATGGAAACATAACCAAATCAAAATATTCAGGCTTTCCTTTCAAACCATAACCAACAATTTCACGATTGCCAATACGTGGATGCATACGCATACGGTCAGCATCCAATGGTGGTGGTGGTTTTCGATTATCCAATACAACTGGACTAGTTTGCACAATAGATTTGTTTGATACAGCCGCTGTTGAAGCATCTGCCCGAACTTGATATTGTAGCATCAGAGCTACTTGAGGATGAGTCAATTTTACATGTCGAAGAAGCAAACTACTCATCCTTTTCTAATCAAAGAAGTTCTTATTTTGATAAATCTACGAAAATAAACAAGCTGATACATTTAATGTTCTAAACAATATCTAAACCTGACACCTATTTATGCATACAAAAAATCAAAAGTACGTAGTTAAACAGAAAAAAAAACATAAACAATAACAACAATGGCGACATCATCGTGTATTTCATTGATGCAGAGAAATTGACCAATGAAATTGATTATTTCGGCCTTCTTTTACGGAATTTTCCTGGAAGAAATAATTTTTTTAAATGTTTTGATTAAAAATAAATCTTATAATTATCAAGAAATTCTCTAAATTTAAAGAAATTATTCAATGAAAACTTACTTATTCACCTCTGTACATACAATAATTACACGTAATAGTGTTTTTTTTATGCTACAAAGCAGAAAAATAAAAATAAACAAGATTGAAATGTCAACTTTTATGAAAATAGTTGTTTTGTTTCTTCTTTTAGATTAATAGTAATGAAAGAGTATTTAGTAGCTTCGTTACTATTCTTCTATTTGGTAACTTATTCTTCAGCAACTCTTGTCGATGGAATTGTTACACTTTCTTGGTCGCCAAATGAACAAGTTCCAATAGTCGATCGGTTTTTAACAAGTAACACTAAAATTGAATTAAAAATTCTTTGTCGTGAAGTATTATCGAACGCAAGTGTAACTCGAGATCAAATTAAAAAGAAATTATATAAATTAGACCAGACAATTAAAGACACAACTATTAAAGTTCGTGGTCGCATTGGTCGTATTGTTGGATGTTTACCATTACAATCGGACGCATTAATAAGTACACCAAAAGAAGATAAAAATTTACAAAAAGATTTTTGGGAATTGTATTATGAACAAATATGGAAAGAAATGGAGCAACGAACATTTACAGCAACACAGTCAGATTGTGATTATTCTGGAACACATTTATATATTGAAGAGTATTCAGATATTAAAAAACCAGAAATTTCACCAGAACAAGCTAGTAATTTAAGATCACAACGAACAGAAACGAATAAAAAAAAAAAAATCCGACGTGCTTCAAAAGAACAATCATCACCTTTAGCTAACGGTTTACGTTCAAATACAGGAACATTATCAACATGGAGTGATGGATATTATCTTATTGAAATTTATGCACCCGAAGTAACAGGTTCAGACAATCCTACATTTGATGTTGATGTTACTGTATCAATGAAAAATCGTCATGGTGGTTATATCACAGCTGATGAATATCCAGCTTTAGTTTTTTATGCGGTAATGTGTGCTATTTATGCACTATTTGCTATATTATGGTTTGTTTGGTGTGCTTTCTATTGGAAAGAATTACTCAAAATACAATTTGCTATTGGAGGTGTTATTCTTATTGGTATGGTCGAAAAATCAGCTTTTTTAGCTGAATACGATACATTAAATAGAAATGGGTAAAAATGAATCTTGACAACTAACATAAAATTAAATATTCTGCTTTGTTCTCGTTGATTTAGATATAAAGTTCATTATGCGATTGTTACAGCAGAAGTTTTATCATGTTTAAAACGTGCTGTATCACGTATGCTTGTTATTATTGTTGCACTTGGCTATGGTTTTGTTAAACCACGTTTGGGACCATTAAAACAAAAACTTATTGCTATGGGAATACTTTATTTTGGAATAGCTACAACAGAAGCGATTCTTCGAATAAATACAAAACATGATGAAACAAATAATAAAATATTAATATCACGCATACCATTGGCTGTGATTGATGCTTTGATGTATTATTGGATATTTACTAGTTTAGTTGCAACAACAAGAGCATTACGTTTAAGAAAGAATTTACTTAAATTAAATGTTTATCGACATTTTACAAATACAATCTTGTTTGCTATTGCTGCGAGTGTATTATTTATGATTTGGTCGTTGAAATCGCATCTTTTTACAACATGTATAACGAATTGGAGAGAATTTTGGGTAATTTTTTTTACATTTTCATTATTTTTATTGAAAAAAAGCACAAAAAATATAAATGAAAATGAAAATAACTTTTAGGTCGATGATGCATTTTGGCATATTTTATTTTCCATAATTCTTCTTGTAATTATGTTTTTATTCCGCCCATCGAACAATAATCAACGTTATGCTTTTGTGCCACTACTCGATCACTCAGACAACGACGACAATGAAGAAGATGAAGAAGATGAAGAAAAAGGCGGTAAGATAGCCAAGCAAAATAAAATCATTTTTATCGATAAGAAAATCATATTGTCGTGTGGTATATGACAAAAATATCTCTCTATTTGATGAGAAACCATGTTAGTGATGTCTCAAAACAAAATTAGTCAGAGAAAAAAAATGTTCTAGGTCCACGATATGATTGCTCAGCTAAAATTTTTGTTATCAAATTGAATATGAAAAATTTGTTTTTGAAATTTTGAATACAGACTAATCTATCATCAAAATGATGCCGAACTGTTTTCGAATGATTCTTTGACAAGGATTGTTTCGATTTTACTACTAGCTATTGTACAGAGAGAAATTTTATGTACGATTTCATTACCAATTTAATGGAAAACAATGATAGATATATTGTTAGTAATTCGATTTTTATATCTATTCCCGTGACAATATATGATCGATAAAAGTTATCTTATTTCATTACTACCGAATATTACTAAAACAACTTTACTACAGATAATAAAAGCTACTATTGTGATCTTTGTATGACATAAAAGATCAATTCAATTTAGTTGCGCTTAACCATCTCCTGAAGATTCTTATGTATTATTTTAAGAAATCTATTATCGTATTGAAACAACTACAGACAATTCTTCATTCTGACAATTTTTTTTGCATACAAATTTTATGAATAAATAACCGTATTATCAATCGAAATGTATTAGCTTTGTTGATTTTTTTACAATTATAATTAAACAAAGCTTTCGATACAAACTATAAATCGTTGAATTCAAATATTCTTTAACAGAATAAAATAGAATTTCTTACATATAACAGAAAGATATGCTAACTTTGTTTTTGTATCATAGAATCCACTGTCTTTGATTCGATAACAATGCGTAAGACGTCAAACGTTGAAAGTGGTGCATCATCTAAAAATAAAAAACAACAACAGGCATTCTTAAATCGTGAAGCAAATGTATCAGGAGGTGGTGTTGGAGGTTCATCAGGTACTAATACTGTTGAAGATGCTTTATCATGGGTTGAAAATAATATTCCTACGTCCATTGCTGATCAAGCACTACAAGCATTAGACAGTGAAGAAGAAATAGCCAATGCAAAATTAGAACGATCAAAAATGCAGTAAAATATGCATTACAGAAAAAAAACCCACATAATAATAATCATTCCATTAAAAACGAGCCATTTAATTATTATTGACTTTCCATTTTTATCATTTAATTATTTGTTTTTCGCACCCATAATAATCTCATTTTTGGTGTCTGAAAGCATTCTACTAACGTAACACTTGTTTGTTTTAGTTTGTCATGTGCTTATTTCCATTTTCTTCTTTATATAAGGTTTTTTCTTCTAGCAGCTTTTTATTCCTTCAAATAATTTGACATCGTTCCTATTCACTATTTGTTTGCTTCATTCTTTTTTTTTGGGTACAGTGTTTTGTTTTCTTTTGTGAATGTATTTGATTATCTTTTACTTTTATTTTTTTCGGAGGACAAAAATCTTTGAAAGAATAAAATAAGATTTCTCTTTGCTTTGATTGTGATAAGATATACATATTTATTCATTTTTAGATCTATCATTTGTGTATATTGATTATTGACTATGATTTGTTGAAATGTAAATTTTAAGCGTATTTATTATTTCTATCTTATTTTATCTGCATTATCTTGATACATTGTCTAATGATCATAATTAAAGAGGAATGATCAATGGCAGCTGCAATGACGTTAACAAATAAATCTTCTCTTGGTAATTCATCGAAACATTCATCTCCAGTAATTAATCCAATAGAATCTTATTCTCCAGCTTCATCATCAACAACAACATTTTCACCTGAATCATCGAATTCAATATCGTCACCAGATAAATCATTGTTATTGAATGAACATCAACAACACGAACAATCAATCCGTCTTGTCGATTATTTTGTTGTTTGTGGTTTAGTTAAATATCTTGAGGTTGAGCCACTATCGGAGTTACCTGGTAATAAAAAGAGAAAGAAAAGAAAACTCATGCTTTTCAATTATTTAATAAATACAAAAAGAAATATTTTTGAGTAGGTGAACAAATTTTAAATCCATTTCAATGTTCATATCGGTGTCGTGTACTATGTCATTATCCAAATGAAAGTTCAAATAATTCATTTGATGAAGATGCAATTAGTCGAGTGAGGTTTTTTGATTTTGAAAAAATGTTTCGATATCGAACTACTTTTATTTCTCTAAATAAATAGTTATCAATGCCAGATGGTGTTTCTATTCGACAAAATTCTCCTGATCCACCGTCAACACATCCATTTTTAATTACACGACTGGATGGAACACGCTATTACGGTGTTGCATTAACATTTTTTGAACATATAAATAATGACGATGAAACTTGTTCAGAAAGTTCATCTTCACCAGCAATTACTTCTTTAAATCGTTTAATTGAAAATTACAATCGAACATGTCGACATCAAAGTCGTTCATCATCATTAATTTATGCGAGCAAAGCAATTTGTTTAATTGGTTCACAAGCTCATTATTCAACATTTAAACGTATTTTAGAACTTCTCTATCGTATGACAATTGAACATGATTTATTAGGTTTACCATTTGAAGCTCATTTGCATAGTATATTACATGAATTATATATACCATCTCCATTATCATCGCATTCGGTTCTTAAATTTAATGTTGGTGAAAGACAATTAACTGTTTGGCAACCAAGTATTCGTCATGATGATTTACCCTTATTAGATTTCAATTTGTTGGATTTTTTTTCTTTATTACGTGTTGAAGGTGTTGTTGACCTTGTAACATGCGCTTTATTAGAACATCAAATCATATTTAAATCTTCAGGTAATTATGTTTTAATTATTTATATGATAGGAAAAATTTTCGACACTATAATTTCGCATTTTAACTGTCAAAACTTCGAGTTCATACGAGTTGCCGATAAACATAGGCGAAATGATTGCTATCCTAGCAAGATCGCACCCAAAAAATTGACTAATAGCCAGTTATTCGAATATAATTGAGACTTTCTTCAATCAATATGAGAAACATTTAAGTGATAAAAAATAAAAATAAAAAAAATTAATTTAGATTATACTCGTTTAATGCTGGTTGCCGAAAGTTTAACATCTCTTCTCTTTCCATTTCAATGGACACTTCTTTATGTTCCAATTGTGTTCACTGCTGCACTTGTTTGTCTTGATGTACCTGTACCTGCTATAATGGGTCTTCGCATAAATAAATCGAATGCAAACTCAGATGCTAAAGACGATGATAATGATAGATATAGTGATACAAGTGATGAAGCCAATTTTGATGTTCAACGATGTGTTGTTCATATTGATACAGGACTTATTCAATTGCCTGATGATATGCCACGTTTTCCTGATCACAATTGTTTTATAAAGGAATTAAATCAAATACTATCCCGATTTGATAATTATATTGATAGTGATTTATCAAAAAATAAATCAAAAACTAAGCTTAAATTTCAAAATAGTGAAGATTGGACACATGTTGATGATCAACAATCGTTAAAAGAATCAAATGATGAACCAAGTCAAGCATTAACAAGACTTTCAGCAATAGCTAAACGTGCTGGAATCGTTGTTAATAATAATGAAGATAAAAATAGTAATAGAACATCTTGTTTATTTAATGAATCTGAATTACGTCGAATCTCAGCGAATACTTGTCTACGTGAATCATTTGTAAATCGCTTTGCCCAATTATTTAGTCAGATGGAGGCATTTATATGTTACCCACCAGAAGGCAAATATAACAATGTTGATCAATGGTTAGCACAACGAAGTACCACAAAAAATTTCGATCGTACAATGTTTATAGCTGATCAACCAAAACCACATGTTCCGTTTTTACTTGCATTTATGGAAACGCAATCATTTGTTTCGTTTATTGATAGTAAAATTGCAGCGAAATTTAATGACAATAGTCATCTTTTTGGTTTAACAACTAAACATTTACAAGTAAAAATTTTGAATGAAATAATTTCATATGACTTTTCGTCTTTTTTTTTAATATTCTCAGTATTTTTCTGATCGTATTCGTTTATATCAAGATCGTCGTGATTTAACCTATCAATGTTGTCCTTCAATTGATTTAATCGATGAAAAAATACGTCGTCGTTTTACTTCACCTCTTCCGTCATCACTAATTGTAATTAATGCACCTGTAGTTCATCCACTCACTCATACTGTAATCTCTACAGCCAATAATTCTTATCTATTTGAGAATCTCAATGGAAGTTTACTTGAATCATCATCTATCAATATATCTTCACCTTTAAATAGTAATATTCCAAAAAGAAATTCGTCTTCAACTCGATCTTTTCAAAATAAAGATACACGACGACGTACAACACGTTTAAGAAAACAGCAAACAATCAATTCAACTGAATATCAGCAACACGCTGGTTTTGTAGAAAATGATGTTGTCTTTCAACAATTACTCAAAGAATGTACTACTAAAGTAACAAGAAAAGATATATTTCGACAAGCAAAAAAACAATTTTTTCTCTTTTTATTTTTGCTTCTTGATTTATCTAGACAAAACGAATGGTGATTGAAAAGATGGAAGATATCGTCGAAGGTTCATCGACAATAAAAAATGTTGATCCATCATCAATGGTTAATTTAGAAGAAAATGTTTTAATAGCAGGTTTTTGTGATTTACTTGAACGTACCTGGTCTCATGGTCTTCATCATAAACCAAATGGAAGATCTGCTCTATGGAATCATATTAAATGCTATGTTAAACTTAAAGATTACGAATCAGCGCTAATGCTTCGTGCCGATCTTCCAGTAACACTAAATAAAGATGAAAATCCAGGTAGCATTTTAAAGATATTTTCTTCTAACTTCTAACTAAATGAAATTCTAAATTAACCTTCAGTTTGGTATTTAACGAAAAAGCAATCAGCGAATCGTAGTGCGTCAGCTAGTCGATCACAATCTCCCAGTGCACATCGTAAGCAATATATTTCTTTGTGTTGTGTTGTTAGCATTGTTGTGATATATATTTATTAGGTTCTCATACTCTTCCACGATCACAAATAAATTTACATCAAGCACGTTCATCGCCTCTGTTAGCAATGGCAAATTCAACATTAAATCTTCTTTCATCGGATAATTTGATAAAAGACAATATATCGAGCATATCTCTAGTTCATGATTTTCATTCGATTGAATCATGTTTTGGACACAACCCAGTTTCTGTCTCAGCATCCGAAATTGGTTTTGCGCGTGCATTTGTTCGTTTGGCCCTTGAACGTCGTCTTTTATCTCGTCATTTATCTGAATTACTTTTTCATGCAGATCTCTTACAAGCCTTATATAAACGTGATGCTTTTTTACGTGCGGATGATGGAGATTTAAGAAAACAATTTATAGCTCATATTGAATCGCTTCAATTACTTGATTATAAATGTTTCTCGAATTCCTATGCAGATATTGATGTTTTTTATCATGTTATTATTGTTCCAACCAGAGCGCGAGCAACAGGAATTTCTAGTACAACGACTGCTTGTCCATATATTGCATTAGCAGGCCTTCTTGGATCAACAAAAATTATATCATTGCCATCAAAGAATACACTTGAAATTAAATTCAAAGTAAAATCTATATTGATTTGAAATGAAATAATAGAAAAAAATTGACAATCATTTATTATTTAGCATAAAAACTTGGGTCAACTAACAACACTTTGCATAGGCCATGATAATAGTGGTTTAATGCCTCGATGGAATATTGATCATGTTCTTGTTCGAAATGAATTAACTAACAATATGTATCGGTTTGTTAATTAAATATTTTATTGTTTGTTTTTGTTTATTTCTTTTTAAATCAAAAAAGGTTTCCATGTGGAAGATGGTTAGGTATAGGAGTCGATGATGATAGTTTGCAGCGACTTCTTTTTGTTGATTCGACTTATTCATTTGAAACGAATGATAATAATAATAATAATAATAATAGTGGATTTTTCGATTCTGGCTCATCATCTCAATTGATGACAGCAAGCTACACTGGTGGAGGATCTCAAGCAAACTTATCAAGTTCAATAAGATCTCGATCACCTAGTTTACGACGTGCCAATGACCAAAGTAAGATATTTATCAGTACTTCTACTTTCATTAATGACAGTATTAATGTCAAATGAACATCCCGATACAGATTTTGTCTTCAGTTGGCTATCGGAAAATTTTCATCGTCGTAAGATTTGCATGAAATAATGATTTTTGTACTTTTTTTTGACATCCCAGCACTACCGCTGCTATTGATCTAACAATATGATTTTCTCGTCTAATCGATCTCATGTAAAGTTTCGTTTTATATTTAGAAAATCAAGCAAATCAACAAGCTGATGATATCTATGAGTTGTTGGGACGATCTATAAATCAACTGGTTAAGTATTTCGATGAACCTGAAAAAAAAGTAATTAAAAAAAATAGTTTAAAAACAAAATTTTCACAAAATTTATTCTAGAGAGGACTCATCACACCGATTTTATGTGGGGAAGACGGTCTTGTCAATGCATTGGAAAAGACTCTTTCGTATGGTTTGAAAAAATCAACTGGTAATGTTCCATTTTTTAGTGGTGGACGAAAAAGATATGCTTGGGATTTTCTAAGTAAAGGCTCACTAATTTATTTATTTTTTTAATTTTTCATTGATATTTTTCTATTTAGTTAAAGTTTGTGATGAATATGATGGACGTCGATCTCAATGGCAGCGTACTAAACAAGAGAAGACTATTATATATTATATAAATGGAGTTCGATCAATTGAAAAAGGTCTTGCTACATTTGGTAAAGATGGCCGCTTTCAAAGTTGGTGTTGTTTAGCCTGCAAGTATGTGTGGAATTCTGTTCTATTCTATTTATTTGATCATTCATTCATATACTTTTTTAGACTTCGTTTACTATCAGATTGGTTTCAACTGTTAACTCAATGTAGCGATTCATGTCTACAACAATTTTATGATCCATCGAATAATTGTTTCCGACAAGAGAAACTAAATCAATTTATTGTCAATATTTTAGAGCCCATTAGAGATTTTGATTTCGCTCATTTAGAACCAGCATTACTCAAAGGACTTGTTGGTGTTTAAAATATTTGTGTATATAATGTGAATTATTTTTCTTGTGCTTGTCGTTATGTCAAGACGAACAAACAGTGAAACGCACAAAAGCGATTTGGCCTTATCTTTGCAATAAATATTTATTTTCTTTTTTTTCCTATCAGTTTTTTTCTTGTTCCTTGTCTATGATCGTTGCCAAAATATATGTGAAACTATTTCACTTGCATATGTTTATTTTAAAATGAAATGAACATGATCAGACTTGTTTTTATAATACTAAATGATTGAAGGAAAGAGTTTTAATATGCTAAATACTTCGTATTTAACATACTCAATGGAAAATATTGTTTAAGAATAGCTATTCTGTTTAGTGATATTATCTACAATTCTTTAGATGATAGATATAGCTGATTTGTCAGCAAAATTATAAACTTGACTTCGTTAGTTATTTCTGCGTAATAAAAGTCTAGAAGAATCTTCATGCCTAATCTTTCCTTGTATTTAGTCATCTAAACTGACGAGTTGATCAACGATAGCGGCTGAGAATTTTAAAGTTGTATAATGGTTTAGATGAAGAGATATGTAATTGTTTCTGATTAAGAGTATCGTTTTGTTCTACTTATACATGACGGGAAAGATGAAAAACAAAATTTCTCATCTCAAATAAGACCGAATATAGTTTAGAAAAACTATAGATTTTTGCATTGATGTGTTGGTGACGCCGGCAAAGCAATCTCGAAAAAGTTTTGTTGTCACATTGGCAGCAGCTGCAATTTCCATCTAGAAATCAGTGGTGACGATGACTTCCTCCTCTATTCGTAACACACATTATTATGGAAAAAATAAGCAACAAATGTTGATTCTTGTTTATGTATATTTTATTAGTTTTGATTTATTGCGTTGTCAAATTAATCTTAGATTGTCTATTTTTTAATACTTGCTTTCCATAGTTATATAAATAATTTCTTTTTTCATCTCTGTCTCTCTCTCTCTGATTAGGTAGTTTGATGGAACAATGATCAATATATGATTATATTTAGGGTTATATTATTCAGAGTAAAAGAATGATAAGTTCATAACACTCGCACATCGATAAAAAGTCCCACACAACAGCAAAAAAAGTATACTAATAAAATGTAAATATGTCTTTGTTGTATTTTTTGTTGACCTACTCGACTGCTGAGGCAATGACTTGCACAGCAGATTCGTCCGTCGAACGTATTGTTAATTGCATCGTAATAGCTTGTGCTCCGACATCTGCTGTTGTACCACCTAATGCCATTTTTGCTCGAACAAGTACATCGTGTCCACCACGATAGACGCCCGCTAAGTAAAGTGCATGTGATGCTTTGCCGTCTGGAACTTTGTCTGATCGTTCACAAGCTTGCATACCCATATAACTTATTATTTTCTTCACACATTCTATAACAAAATATAATAGTCAAAAGAACTAAAATCAACAACAACCACGATAGATTACCTTCAAGCGTTGCAATTGATAATGTATATGTATCTTCAAGTTCATTTTCCGCTCCAATTTCTTCCCATGAAGCCGACCAATTCGTTTTAAGTACTTTTTGCACATGATCACTAACTGTAACTTCAACATCTTCAAGCTAAAAGCAGATTTTTCTTTAAAAAATAAATAACCAAAAACAAAATTAATACTACTAACCACAAATTCATCAGCATAACCTTCTTCATCATCCGGTTCACCTGTTGCAGGATCACAATCTTTAACCGTATATTTCATTGTACATGCCAATGAACCAGTTACCGCTGATGAATCATCAGGTAATTTAACTAATGTGTAAGTTGAACCCGTATCATTACATTTAATAACTTGACAAGGAGTATAATGAACAACTTCAAAGCCTTCAGCTGATCCATCCATTTGAACCGATACTCGTTCTAACAATTGATCATTTAGGGTATTGTTGATATCAAACTAAGTCAAAATAAACAAAAAAATAAATTATAATGTTAATCATACATAGAAGAAAATAGTTGAAATTTTACTTGAAACACAATATAATGACTAAAAACATGCTTTATACATCGTACAACATATTCAACTTCGCTTTCAGTTAAATCAACTGGTAGTGATGATTTGAATATTGGACCCAAATGAGCAAATTCTGGTATAGCAGCCAATTGTTCTACGAAAATCATAGATATATAAATATATATACGACAGAATTTATGTCTATGAAAATTACCGCCATAAGTATCTTCTCGGTTTGTTTTTGATTCCGTTCCTCCACGTGGAAGACCAACACCAATACTGATATCGGCTGTATAGAAAGAAAATCGGAAACGTTTTATGAAAATAAGAATTATAAAATTAGATATCCAACTTTTAGGTTGTTCAACATGAACTGTTTCAATGGGTACAGATTTAACATCAAATGCTTTAGTTGTTGGTTCCATTGTATAACGATGTAAAAGACGTTCAAGTGCTGACAACGACACATTCATTGCTAGATCAAATATTAAATATTTCTATTTTTTTTCAATTTAATCGAAAAGGACACTTACAATTGAGAATATAAGCTGAATTTAATGCCTTATCACTATGTTTCAATAATTGATAATAAAAAGTAGCACGATCACGAACTTCATCATCTTGATCGAGTGTTGTTCTGTGTAAAAGTACCAAAATATTTGGTAATAATTCTTCGGAGGCAGCACCAAACTTAGCCAATGCACTCACCGCAGCTACACAAGTAATTACTTAATTACTGGTAAAAACAAAAGTAAATTGAAAAAGGATTTTACCAGCTCGAACAGGTGCATTTTCAAGAATAACACGATTATAAATATAACGAATATATTTAGCTGGTGTCGTGGTGCGTGGTCCTTCACGACCCAATAAATGAAGAATACGAGTAGCCAATGATGTATGTTCACAGTCTTCGATAAATTCGCATAAATGAGCCAAACCTTGAAAAGAAAAATGTAAAATGCAAAATTCTTTATTTAGAATCTTACCTGCTTCTTTTGCTTCAGGATTTTCTTCAACAATTGAAATAATTGTATTAACAATTGCTTTTTTGTATTCATAACCACCTTCTTCCCGTAACATATTAACAAAAAATGCCATTAAAACTGTATGTTTATGTGGAAATTTTTGACATAATGATCTAAAAATATTATATGGATTTTTACTAGAAAAAAAAATATTTTCGATTATTTTTTACTTAATCGCATCCACAACAACTGTTTTGAATTGATCCGATATTTCAGACAAAAACGATGAGATTTGTTTCATTAATCGATCAACACCCGCTTCATTACCTGTCTAGCAAGAAAAAAAGAAAATAGTTTGATTACTAAAAAAAATGAAAACTAAAAAAAATACTTTAAAAAGAGTTGTAATAGCTAATGTTGCAATCGAACGATTGGAATCAGTAATTAATGTTTCAAGATCCACATTACAAGCTGTAACTGCTGCTGGATATTGAATAGCAACCTATAAATGAAACAAATGAAAACTTTCCTGTTCAATGAACTAAATAAGAAAATACATTTTACTTAGTGTTCGAGCTGCTGTACAATGTAAAAAGTTTTAGGTGATGAAGTAAACCATTGTAGAACTTTAACACCTTCGAAATAGACTAGCTAAAACCTCTGAAAAAGGTTAACCGTCACTTTTTGTAACTGAGAAAATTGTTCATTCGATGTACTGATCATATTGAGTTATGGTATAGGTATGTGCATAACGTGACCGAATTACATGAATTTCAAAATGATACGAATGCTCTTAATAGTAAGAAGACAAGTGTTCAATAACACTTTCAAATTGAATCAAATGGAGAGAATGGATACAGCACATTCGCCTTCGTTAATAGGCAAAACACAGTTTGTTTATTTGAGGATTTACTGAAATTTTATTTCAAGTCTTTTTTTTGGATATTTTCAGTACAATTCAACATAATTCCATCAATCGAAATAATCAAAATGAAATTAGTAGTAGCACAACGATTGACATGCTTAAAAATTGTTGTAGTAATAATTGTGATTGTGACAAAAGGAGAATGGTTCTATGAACGATTCGTCAATGAACAAAAAGGAATGTTCAATCAGAAAGACAAATGGCGTCATCAACAATGAGTCCATTGTTTTGAGATGAATATTTATTCTTCTTTGCACATTCAGACAACAATGAGAAAATATTAATGTATGTATAAACAGGAGTATTGAACGAAATGGATAACATGAACATATCGAACATGAACCGTCTCAATATACTCGACTTGCCGAATGAAATTTTATTCATTATTTTCAACAAACTCAATATGGTCGATGTTCTATATTCATTTGTTGGTATTAATCAACGCTTTGATCAATTAGTATTTGATCCATTTTATATTCGGAATCTTAATATGACCTTTGTGACGATGAAATCCTTTTATGATCGTATGTATTCAATAAACAATCATGTCTTAGATAAAATTTGTAAAAATGTGCTGCCTAAAATGTATCATCAAATAAATGAACTCATCGTTGAACAAAATTCTATGGAACGTGTTATTCATAATATTAATTATCCTCAACTTTATTCGTTAACACTTTTGGAGTTTTCAAAAAATGCGCTTTTCAATCATTTAACAAGTAAGTTATTTAATACAATAATGAAATCATTGGAGATAAATTAATAGTTTGTTCGTTTTTTAATTTGTAAATTAAAGGTAATAAAATTCTTCGAAAACTTCTTATTGAACAAATAACACATCTTAAAGTTGATATTAATTATGAGTCAGTAGAACCGTCTTCTGAAACTCTTGCAAAGATGTTTGCTTTGATTTTATCTTTATGTAAACAGTTAATCAAATTAAATTTTTGTAAATGGATTCATCGAGCACTATACTGTACTTTTAAGTTATCACCAATAAATTTCAGATCTTCAACTTTAACTGCATTGAAAGTGAATGTGAAATCTTTTGATGATTGTCTTTATTTACTTGATGGACGTTTGAATTGTTTATCAAAATTGAGTATAGGTATAACAATAATTGCAGATACATCGGGAACTATCGATAACACAGTTAGCATGATTGTTAATTCTCTTTCGAGAGAAAAAAAACAGTGAATTCGATAATTTAAGATTTTTTTTCATAGAAAAAACTTCCCAAATTGAAACACTTCTCATTAATGTCGTATCCACATATACTTTTATATGATAGTTTAATTGTTCCATTACTTCGACGAATGATAAATCTTGAAAATTTGATATTATATTTATCAAGAATAAGAAATAACAAGAATTATATTGATGGTAATGAATTATATAATGATATTCTTATATATATATGCCACAATTAAACAAATTTACTTTCAATATACGCACAAATGTAGACAAGAAAAATGATGGAATTGTTTTTTCTTCAAATGAAGATATTCAACATAGTTTCAGAAGAAAAGAATATGGACTCGTTGGCTCATATGTTGAAACTTTCACAACATCAATTGAATATAAGTGTTATAGCAACTCAATGCCATATCATTTTAAAAGTAGATCCCATATCTATTCACTTCCATATCAATTCAAAAATTTTGATTTGTTAAGTAATTCTTTTGAAGGTGGCATGTTTGGTAATGTTCAATCTTTAATAATGACAGACATCTATCCTTTTGAACATAATTTCTTCAACATTATCTCTCAAAGTTTTCCTCTCTTGAAAGAGTTGCATATCATTAATGAAAAACCACAGAAGAACAAGCAACAAACGATGCCGTTGATTGTATTCTCTCATCTTATTGATCTCAACCTTTTTTGTGCTCATGCAGACTATGCTGAACAATTTCTTGTTAATAAACATTGTTATTTACCTTGTTTATTGAACATTAATATTTGTTATGAACCACTGACTTTAGTTACAAACAATTTTACTAATGATGCTACACGTCTCACTTGTAGCAAATTGACATCAGTTTGTATAAAAGAGCCGTTTGTGTCTCCCGAAACTTTTTCTAAATATTTTCCTTTATTGTAAATATTATTTTTGTTGAGATTTATATAAATAAAAGCTGATAATGCCTGAAGATTGCATATAGATTGATCATATTGATTAGACAAAAAGAAAATCAATTCATGATTACTTCAACAACGCAATTTCACTGTTATATATGTATTCATCGCTTGTGAAATAGCTGTATTTAGAAATATTGTTTTAGATCACATGGTTGTATTAATGTGGTGTTGTTGTACTTTGCTATTGTTAATATTTCTGTGAATAAATATCGACATCATATCATATCTATTTTACTGATGTCAGCACAATACATTGGAATTGGCGTTTTGCTACGTTTAACTTTTGCATTAAATGAAATAATATTTTTGCATATTCAACACGCATACAACAAGCATTTTAACGTTCATTTAGGTAATGTAAAAGATAGAATAAACAATCGATTGGAAAAATATAGTTTAACAATCACTGAACGTGTATATATATTGTCTATTCTTAATTCTATAATTGTCGTCTCAAATTTTATAGAAGGTATAAATTAACTAGTAACACTGATGATAATGGCAGATTTGTATGCCGATAAGGTTCTACATTTTAATGATGTTCAATTCAAAATAATACTATCATTCTTGATTGATTGACAAGATGCTTTTTCTGGTGCAAATAAATCCAAAATCAACGGACCCTATAACTGTTGATGCGCGTGGATTTGAAAATTCTTTTTGATTTAATCTTACAAATTTTAATAAAGTGAACATTGAATGATTCAACATTTGAATAGTACACCACAATCACAAGAATGAAACACATTAATGATTGAGGCGGCTAGCGGTGAGTGGCACCTGAAGAGGAGCCAACGAACGACTAGCCGCTCACTCAGAAAAGCCATACTAATTATTTTTATTACACTGTTTGACAACTTCAGAATATTTTCACACAGTCTAGATTAGAAAAATTGCAAGGACTGTCGAAAATAGTGTCAATCTACTAGCTTTTTCGTGGCAACGCCATGAAAGAGTTTCCTAGCTCGCTTAAAATATCTGAAATTTATATTCATCGAAAAAGTATTAATAATTTTAGTTGTTTTTTGAACTGAGAGTGGGATTTCAACTGAATCAAGTAAGAGTGAGAGTTTTTTTCTTTGGCCATACACACTGGGATGCATATATTTGCATCATGGAGCGAGAACGAACCGAACCGAAATGAGCTCAAACGGATTTGAGCAAAAAAAGTAGATAAATCGAACGAAACTCGAAATAAAAAAAAGCTGGATTAAATTCGGTCTGTAATCTATAAGTGTGGATTCTTGTTAAGTTTCTATAGTGTGTTGACTAGCTTGTGTTACAGGTTCACTGAAACGAAGTATTTCGTTCATAGCTCTCCTGGATGGTTGTTTTTCTTCATTTTATATCGAGCTTATTGAAATTTTTCTGAACGTTGTTCAAGCTTCATTGGTTCCGACGCACCTAATTTCACTCTAGTTATTTTGTATCGATGAATAGTACTTAAACAAAGATTTCTTGATGATACTTGCAAGTAGGTTTTCTATCTAAGCTTAGCTATCAGTCATTTTTTCCGGTACAATTATTACCAAGCTATAACCCGGGTGATTGAATATGGCCATTAGATAGGGGCCGTATTTAACGCTTCACGGCCGTATACATACCGTATTGTTCGATCAGGGAAGCATCTGAAGTGTCTCACGTGAGCGTTTTTGCTTTTTAAATATTCATATCCTTTTAGTAGAGGGTTAGCAACACTACGGTCGCGTTACTTGTTGAATAAGGCAATAAATCACGACTGAGTTAGTTATTCTGTTGCATAACTATCTTCCGCAACAAACTTCCTGCAAATTCATCGTAGACTACTTTTGTAATTCACAATGAAGTACCATTCTTATTCTTTCAGAAAATGGTCAACGAATCCGTAGGATGAGCGCTACTTGTAGACTGGCATCAGATAATCGCAACGTGGTTCTCTAAACATATAGGTAAATCATAATAGATCGATCAATCACATTAGTGTCTACAATATACAATACAAATTTCTGACAGGTCATTGACTATGCCTTCGTATGATTATCTCTATCGAAAATTTCAATCCTATCAGAAAAATATTCTTTTGTGATTTGCAGGTTTTTTTATTTCGTCACATATATAACTGAAAAAAATGTATGATGGATATATAATTAATCCACATATACATGCCTATTAGTTGACTAAAAACATCGTGCTCTTTTAAGAAAATCACATCGTGTTAAGTTATTGAGAAATTATTTTGAGAAAAAAAGACAAAAAGGAAAGAACGAAAAAAAAATTGTTTGTGTCTTTATCAAATTATAAAGCGAATGAAGCATGATTTAAGTTCTTAATAAATGTCACTAATATGAGATCGCATTGGACTGTCATTGGGTGTATATTGTCTTAATGAACGAGGAGATATTTTCGAATTCGAACATTGAAATGGTACAATCGTTGGACTTGGAACTGATGAACTGTAACCTGTTGATAGAACTCGTTCTTGTCTAACGGCTGGTGTATTTGATGCACGTGATACATTTGTTAAATAATCCGTGCTCGATGATGTTTGCGCACCGCTTAATAAATGTTGAACCGATGATGGAATATGTTCAGATAGATGTTGATGAGATTCATGACTATAACAATGTGCTGGCGATGCACTACTATAATTATATTCATTTAAAACATGAGCTAATTTTTCACTTGGTGGCGGTAAATCTTCAATACGTTCAACAACACGTACATCACCGCCCGTGTGTGTTTGTGCATTATAACTTGCATATTGATGTGGATCAACACGGAATACACCTTCTTCGATAACACGTCGAACTGTAAAAGCTTTTAATGGTTCGTATTCGATAATAACATTACGTGTCACTTTAGGAGGCTCTGGTGGCGGTGCTTTTTGTAATAGAACAGGGCGCTTAACTTTTTTATATGGTAACCATTTTTCGAATATAACTGTACGTGGTTTTGGTGGTGGTGTTGGTAAACGTTCAATAATAATTTGACGTGGTTGAGGTGGAGGAGGTGGTAGATTTTTATCAATCACATACGGTCTAATGATATGAAAGGAAAAAAGAAAATGACAGATAATAAGAAAGAAAATTTCGTTTGCTTCTTAAATTTTACTCAAGTGGTGCTGGTGGTGTTGGTGGACGTTCACGAATAGTTAATGGTGGTGGTGTACGTGCTTCAGGTTTTCGTTCGCGAATAAGAAGTGGCTATAAATAGGAATTCAAACGAATTTGATTAATGAAAGAAAGAAAGAAAAAAAAAAAAAGAATCCGTACGGATTGAGGTGGAATAGGTGGTACGTGTTTTTCACGGATGATGATTGGTGCCGGTGGTGGTGGTGTTGGTGGTTGTAAATAACGAATACGAATTTCTTTTCGATAGACAACATTTTGTGTACTTGGTTTAACTACTTTAACAGGTGGATTATCGGCACAATTGATTTCACGTAAATAATGTTCAGCCGATAAGTTCGACTCATTGTGATGTGAGACAAAACTATGAGGTGGCTCTGGAGGTGTTCGTCGTGGTGAAAGAATATGTTGACTCATATCTTGTTGTAATTGTGAATTTGTATTTTGTGTATTAGATATATCTCGATTAACCAGTGAGGATAATGCTTGCAATGGTTGTGATGATGGTGGTGATGGCGGTTGGTTTGCAGGAGGTTGTGCTAATGGTGGAGGTGGCTGATGTACGGATGCAATTGACCGACCTGGTGACAAAAACGATTGAGATTGAGTTTGTAGCAGATATTTGTTATTTTTTATTTGTTGCTGTTGTACAGGATAGCTAGAAAAAGCTGATGGATGATTCGATGCTTGCTCCTGTGGTTGATTGTCTCCTGGTAATGGACTGAAAACAAAATCGCTCGGATTCAACCCAACTTCGGATAGAATTCGATGAAGTTGAGTACGATCTTGCACACGATTTGAGGTAGCTTCTCTATCTGAATTAGCTTCGACTATGTTATAGTTACGACCGCTATAAATAATGAAATGAAATAAAACAAGGGCAATAGTTAGAAGTATAGAAATAATATGTTATTTGTAGGAGTGATTGGCATGAAAAAAAACGTAGAAAAAGTGTCGATTTATGATTTTGCTTGTGATTTTCTGTTTATCAAAAGACAAAATACACATATGGTTTGCGACAGCGACGGTAGACAAAATCAGTCTTGCGGAACTACATACATTGGAAAAAAAGACAAGGACACCTGCATATCAGACACTACTTTGTTGTGTTCTTATTTTCATTTCAAATGGTTGTAAATAAATCCACACAATAGTATTCTTTATCGAATCATTCTTTAATTTGTTTCTCTCGATATTAATATAAATCGAACTTTTATTTATTCGAAAATTACTCAAAACTATATTATTTGGTTTTTAAAAAGTAAACTAGCGCATAAACACAAGTTAATGACCTTGCAGAAAATATATCCTTGTGTTTAATTATCATATTGGTTGATTGTCACTTCACGGCATTATATAGATACGCAATGAAATGAATTGAAGGTTTAAGACGTCGATTGATTGAAGCGGATCCTTTTTTTTTTGTTATATAATAACAATATCTTGCAAGAAAATATAGAAAATAAAATAGATGACTTGTGTAAGACATACACAGAAATAATGTGGTTTTTTGCTATCAAATCATTATAACGGCGAAACAAGCAAATGTTTAAGTAGTTTGTGTATATGAACTAATTCAACTTTTTTTCCTAGTTCATAAATTATTGTTGAAACTATCCCTTACATATTTCTTTATATAAATGTTGTATATGTTGAGCCGATTGATATTGAGTTTCTTCTTCATCGAAAACATCGTTTATTATTAAAACTTTCGAAATTTCGAAAAATTTGTGGGAAGATAGTCCAAACCTGGATTCCTCTTAAATCCTTTCATTTCTTATTCGGTATCGTCTGCCTTATGATCCTCTCCTCGCTTTTTTTTATGGCACATCTAAAACGTTTCGCACAAACTTTACAGTAGTTCATAGGTTCTGCTTTTGTTTTGAAAAAGTATGTCGAGATGCAAGCCTTGTCAGAGTCTCTCTTCTGCATTAAAGCTTGTAGTTAATCTATAAAAGATTCCTTTTATTATGAGATTGTCACTTGTTGAGGTTTTCGTGACATTGAAGGGTTCACCACTTTATAACGAAGAATTTGGTAAAACAAAAGAATCTTGTCATGCACTGCATGATGAAATGATCTTTTTTAATCTTCTGCTCAATAAATTATATCTCAGAATCTATTAGATAGTGTTAAATAATAGTTTTAATACATTTAAGAAAATCTATAAACGATGTTACTAAATATATATATTCAACTAAATGATTAGTATGAATTATCGTTAACTTACGTAGCCATAATATTTTTCCAGGCGATACCAAACAGTTACCAGTATAAAATACGAATAATCGGGTGAGAATATTTCGTTCGTCTCTGTATGTTACTATTCACATATCCAATTAATCTAAAATCATGGTTCAAGTACGCTTTTTATGTTCATACAGTCGTTCACCTTCATGTATCGAGTCGTTTTTTAGCAAAAAAATCAACGGAGTAAGGCATTGATGCATAACCGATAACATTGTCCCACGAAGTTCAGTGGATACAACGAATCGTTATAAAATAGAAAAAAAAGCATCGACCATTATTTTTTCTTTTTTTTCTAATATATTCATACCACTCAACATGAATATCATTACTTCTACTTTTTATTCGTTTCGATTATGTTCAAGATTGAAACTCAACCTTCGCGCCTGATCAGAAATACCCATGACATCAGTAAAGACATTTTCATTTTTGAAATAATCAATAGAATTATATTATAACAAGTTTTCTTTACAACAAAAAGAAATTCGTAGATCTTTTAATGTCGATGCCCATCTACACTAATATCCGTAGATATATTTATTTAGAAAAGAAAAATTCAAAGCGAAAATAATTGTCATCGTTTCTTTACATTTCTGCTTCCGTCCATTCACGAACGACATACCATTGATCATCATCGTCGTCTAAAGGACGTACTTGTTCCTGCCATTTGGTAATAATTCGATTTCCTAATGGGATTTTCACTATAGCATACTTCCCTGGAAAACATCGTAATTCTTCTCTAGATAATAATGGTCGTTCAATTCTATACATAATTGGATATGATGTTTGACTAACTACAACTAATCGCCATTCAGATAACAACAATCGTCGTTGAGTTTCCAAGGACATTAGTCGGTTTTTGTTGAAAGAGTTGCTTGCCTGTCTAGATCAATAATCAGTCTATTTGAAATAGATATTTGAGTATTTTATGCATTTCGACAGTAAATAGATTCATTTGAATAGAAAAGTAATTTTTGCGTGCGCTGTTGAAACAAGAAACAGAAAAAAAAATTTTCTACAGTAAAATGTCAAGAGTTTATTTACAAGCAGTAATATAAAATTTATGGATAATATTTAATGCCATATGACAACATTCATAAATATAAATGTTAATTATTCTTTTGAATTTTATCTTTTTAATTGAAAAACTAGGATTTCATAGGTATATATTTAGTCGTTTCATCTCACTGTATAATTAAAAGTCGATATTTACATCAAATATTTGATTGACACAAACTTCTTCATGTGTCAACGAAACATATCATAAACGTTGACAAATTAATCACGAGAGAAAAGGATAAGACCCTCATGATCTGAGACAAGAGACATATGCAAATGCGAACTAAGTATTCCATAATAAGAAAAGAAAAAACCAGTGACATAATATAAACGAGAAAAATAGACGATTCATAAAAGAAAAGCATCCTTTTGTTTTTTGTTAATATGCGTGAAAATAGTTAATAATTGCAAAACACTCGATAATTCATATGCAAATCTATAGAATTAGTAGACAAAAAAAAAAGAAACTAGACTTGTCGAGAAATACTTCCGATCACGATAGGTTACTTTTTTGTTACAAATGTAATCAAATATTAACAAACGATGATAAATTCAGAAAGAATTCCATTTCCTAAGCATTCGTCATTTTCAATTTATCTCAGAATATTTCTAAAAATAAAAATATAGTGTTTAGTCATATTAAAGGAAGAGAAGAATAAGAGAAGTGCACATAGATTGACCAGTAGTTTTGGTAAAAGGCTCAAAAAGAAAATTTTTCTGAGTGACTTACAAAATGCAAAAAAAACATCGCTTACGCGATCCTAATTAGCTAGTCATGACTACATTTTGAGTCTTTGCATTCGTATCGTCTTAAGAAAACATCAGATAAAAATTTTCATTCAAGGTACAAAGTGCGACACATAAACTTAGCGCTGTATATCTCGAAAGGAAAAGGTCTATCTTGATTGACATTCCTATGTCGAGAGATAATCTTATTGCACACATGATTTATAAGTTATATATATTTGTACGAAACAATATATTTTGCGCATCGGCATAGATCAAGTCAAGTGAATGATTACATTTCTTGTATATTTATACATTGAAATCAAGCGAAAAATAGACGAGTAGATCATAACATGCAAATAAACTATAACAACTATATACAAATAATTTTTTTTGTTATTAATGACTTATCTAAAAATAACTAATAAATGAGATAGAAATGTCATTTCTAGTGAAACAAAATAATTCAATCAGTTTTTCTTATGAATCATATTGATTGCTTTGTCGTTGTTGTGCTGCAGTAACATATTCAGAGCCAGTGATCTTTTGCATTAGTTTTTTAAGTTCTTCGAAAAAACGTTGCATTGCTCTACGAATCTTTTTAAGATATTTAAAATCTCCATCATATTCACCAAAAGCATTGTCATCGTCAACATTAGCCTCATCAAAATCATATTTTGTTGAGCTTGCTGTTCGCATGGCTGTTGTAGTTTCAGTCTAAATAGTAAGTCAAATTAGAGTTTAAACCAAAAAACAGAATATTCTTATTTCTAAATATCTACCGGTATTCTACTTCTTGTCGGTATTAAATCACGGTTTCTTGTTGGAAATGCAAAAGTAAAACGATTAGTCGTTGTAGTTGCTGTAGTTGTTATAATTGCTTCTTCTTCTTCTTCTTCTTCGTCGTCGTCGTCGTCATCGTTACCAACATTATCTTGAATTCTGTGATCATGCTCCTCATCGTCATAATCAGACATAATGAGTGTACGTGTTGATGATGATCGCTATAATTTAAAACTATTGAAAAGAAAAAAACTAACTGTTTTAATTTAATTTTACCATCGGTACTGTTCGAGCCATACAAATAAGAGCTAAAAAAGCAACGACAAGTACAAGTTTCATGATAGCTTCTTGTTTTTTTCTTTGTTATTATTATTCCGTCTGTTAGCAAGACATATTTTCCATGTCTATATATATATGTACTCGTACATAGAGTTGGTCGATATCGCTTGCCTAGATATTTTTCTTTTTCGTTGTATATCAATAAGAATCATCAAGAAGAACTATAATGATATTTGATGAATGTTTTTTTTTCTCTCTTGGAACCATCAAATATCTATCTGCGGAGTACCATCATAAGACAACTTATTCATCGTAAACGAGCAGATAAGAAAAAGAAGCAGCAAAAAATAGGAAAGAATCATTATCGTCATGTTCTCCTACAAGGCATTATTAATGTTATTTGCATTCCTCAATAAACATAATATCACTTTCTTTTTTTTTTGTTCCAATAAGAATTCTTATAATTAAAATAATTAGATAGATCTTGTAGCTTTATTTCTTCTTTTTCGCCGAACAATTGATTATAAATATATTATTATAGCATTCATTGAGAGTATATTTTTGGCGTTGTTTGTCAAATTGTAAACATACACACATTGATTATTTACACATACAAACGCACACACGCACGCAAACTCATATGAAAAAAAAATTCCATATATAACACGATTGTGAGTATAAAGAAGAATAAGAAGTAAATATCCCAAGTAAGATAGATTCAAATGAATACAGATTAGAGAAAAAAGCAACCAAAATCCCGAATGTTTTTGTTTTTGCTTCTACGAAAATGAAATTGATACACACTCTTAAGTCGAGAATAAAAACAAAGGAGAGACGAGGGAGAGAAAAAGAAAGAGAGATATATGAAGAAGACACTGTTGATGCAAAATAATAAACAAAAATAAGTTGCGTCATGGATTCGTGAAGTAAATAAGATAGAAAGAGAGAGAGAGAGAGAGAGACAGAGATCAAGGATTGGTGTGACACAGACGAAAAAGAAAAAAAAGAAGAAGAAAAAAACAAGTCATGATTTATATATAAAACAGAACGAAATGAAATTCAATTTGAATAATGTTTAAATAGCGCCGCTGCATTTGGATCGGTAAAGAGTGGCGGTGGAGCATGTTGTCCATTTCCTGCCGCTGCTGCAGCAGCCATCATTGCATATTGCATATCTCGGTCACGTGCATGTTGTTCAAGTAGAAAACGATAGCGATCCGATTCAAGATGATTATTTGGCATAGGGAATCCAGGTGGTAATAGAGGCGATCGAGTAAAATCGAATGGTGTCGATGATGTTGGCGGCGGAAATAATGATGATTTTTGTGAATCACTGTTTATACCACTACGACGAGATGATGAAGAAGGCATAGGTGGTGGCATTGGGGGTCCACCCATTGGAAAAAATGATGACAAAAATGGAGATGGAGGTGGTGGTGGACCAAATGATTGTAAAAGATCTACATTGAAGTTTAGAAAACGTTTACGATCATCATTCGAAGGAAACGTTGGTAATTGATGCTGCTGCTGCTGCTGCTGTTGTTGTTGTTGTTGTTGTTGTTGCTGTTGTCCTGGTGGTGGTAATAATAACGATGGAAAATCCATCTATTACAAAAAAAACTTTTTATTAGAAATAAAAAATTTTACTAAAAATTTTTACCTTCATTCGATGTGATGGTGATGATGGAAGAAAGTTAGATCCTGATGTTGGCCGTGATAAAGGTGACGGTGATGTTCGTCGCATACGTTCATCCATAAATGGCATTTTTTGTTCACGTTTCATTGTTGGTGCTTTAATTGAAGGTGACGATGACGACGATGAAGATGTTACTGTTGGTCGTGATAATTTTGCAGTTGACGGCGATCGTAATAGAGGATTTTGTTGAGAATTCATATCGAATGGAAATGGAAATGCAAACGGTGATGGTACCGGTGGTGGTAATGGTGGACGTAATAGTGATAAATCATTATTGTTGTCATTTAACGGTACAGGTGGTGGTAATAATGTCGATTGAGAAGATGGTAATGTCGATGATGTTCGAGTTTTATTTGTTTGATTAAGAAGATTCAATTTATCACGTTGTCTTTGTTCATTATTAAATATCATCCATGCTATATGAATATGTGCTGTTGACCATTTTCCATTGGATGGTTTTTTCAATTGTACTATTGGTGATGGATTGTTGTCTTTTTTATTATTGACAACAGAGAGAAAACCTTGTTGTTGTGGTGAATGTTTTATGTTAGGAGAAGTTTTATCAATAAACATGTCTGTTACTGAAAAACCTGTTTTCATTTTTTTAGTTTCATTTGATAATGGTGTTTTAGATCTTGGTGATGATTGCCGTTCGTCTTTTGTGGTTATATTTAATTTATGTTCATGTGTATGATTGTGATTGTGTTGATGCTTAATTAAATAGAAATAAAATGCTTAACATGGAAAAAGTTTTTTTTTCTTTTCTTCAAACCTGATGAAATTCTGTAACAATAACTGGTGCTAAATAAAGCGGATGTGTTGATGGTGTTGTAGAATTTGGTATATCAGGATTCGATGCCGATGAACTATGACGACGATGATGATGATGATCGATGGGTGATGTACTTGAATGATTTGAGGGTAATTTTGTAGTTGAATCAAATAAAGGTGATTTCGTTGATGGTTGTTTATTCGATGCAGATAAATATTGCCTTTGTAATGCTTCACGCTGCGACCATAATGAATGATCAGGACCATTTGGTGAATTACCATGCATTTTAGCATTTAATGATGATACAGGTGAATTACTATTTGATGATGCAGCTGCAGCCGCTGATGCTGCTGCGGCTAAATAACTTGGTAATACACCTGGATAGTATTTTTCAAACATTTTTTCCATTGATGTATCCTGTTGATTGTCTTTCATTGAAAACGGATGTTGTAGTGATCTAGATGGTGGTCGCGCAGGTGGAGGCATTAACAATTCCCGTGGATATTGACCCCCATAAAAACGATTAGCTAACATCATTGATTGATCGTAAGAGCCAGGAAATGATTGTGGTGGTGGACCATGAGGATGATGAGAAAATGGTGAAAATGATGGCATAGGATACAGTTTTGGATCGAAATGAGGCGGAAAATTTAATGATGGTGGTAGAGGCATAGGCTCGTGTTTAATATGTTGTTTGGCTAAGTCGGACATGGATGTGATTGTCGGATGTTTATTACTACTAAAAAACAAAATGGTGAATATTTAAAATGAAGAACAATTTTTTTCTCGTTTTATTTACCTATCACCATTAATACTTAGATCGTGTTTCGTTTTATGTCGTTTATGTGATTTATGATGATGATGATGGTGATGTTTCTTTTCGTTTGATTCTATTTTAATATCATCTTTTGATTTTTGTGATGATGTCGAAGAATTTTGATTTTGTTCATTATCGAAATGATTGTCTCCATGTTCCGATGCTGAACGATTTACTTGGTCGATAGGTTCATTTTTAATAGTCGTCAATGAACGATCATTGGAATTTTTATTCGGTGATATATTTTGCCACATAGATGATCGATGACTAAAATAATATGAAAAGTGAATTTCTCAATACAAAACAGAAAGAAAAAACTCTTTTTTTAATTAGGCAATAAAATTTAAATATATAAATCCTTGATAAGCATTATTCCCTATAAGATGACAGACTTATGTGACATGAAGAACTAATTGTCTAAGAATATAAATGACTTCAGGCTTATTCGTCCTTTTTTTCTTGTAATAATGCCTAAGGGTGACATCGACTACCGACCTACAATTCAATCATTATAACCGAATGACGATGTTGAAAATGAAACTCAAATAGTATCACTGATAGAATTCAAGATTAATATAAGAAACTATTATATAAATCTAATTGACAAGAACGGATTAAATTAAAAGTAAAAAAACAACGTTTACTTAGTAATAGTTAATCTGACAATGTCATATCTTGAATAGGTAATAATAACAATCTATGATTGTTTTTTTAAACATGAAATGACAAAATATGTTTTACTTCATCTGTTCTCATATTCCGAAGAAATAACATTGGAAATAGAGTAAAACTCTTTATTTAAATCAACATACTTTTCTATTGATACATCGTCAGGTGGATTTGATGTTGAATTAGTAGATGTTCGATGTTCATCGTCAATTTTACATGATGCACTTGTTGATCGGTGCATTGAATATGAATCTGAATGATCTATAATATGTCCATTCTTTTTACCAGATAATGAATGAGCTTTTTTATTTGTGTATGTTCGTTGTAATTGTTGTTGATTAAAATGTTCAAATGCAATACGCCAATCATCATCTGTTTCAAATGATAAAAATGCAAAACTATCCAAAATATCATATTTTCCCGTTTTTGTTTTCTCAATTATTGTTTGTAATTGTTCTTGTGCTAAGCAACTACGAGTCTTTTGAATTTCTTGTTCATTTGTATTCGAAATTTTTATCGATGATTGTGATGTATGACTCGAGGTCGACGATGAACGACTTGATGAGGTTGAATGATCACTTGATGAACGGGCACTATTCGTTGGACGCCGTCGTTTATGGCGACGTGTTGTACCATTTGTTGTTATTTGCTTTGTTGAACGAGATGATTTGTTTGCTGTTGTTGATGATGTTGATGGTTTCAAATCATCATTTGTTATTGAATGTTCTTGTTCCAATGGTTCTTCCATTATATTGTCATGGTTAGAAATAAAAAATTAATTATTAAGGAAAAATATCACCTTAATCACTTGAACAAGTTCACATGATCTAAAGGAAAACAAAATAGAAACCTTTTCCTTTTTCAAGAGAATAACAATACATAAAGTGTAGGAGTGGTTGAGAGAGGGAGAAGAGGGCAAGGAAACAGACTTATTGAAATACTACCATTAATGTCTGTTGTGAAACTCTAATGAAATTTATTTGATAATTAACTGAATAAATTTATGTATTTTATTATATGAAAAATAAGTAAGTAAAATAGAAATTTTACCGAAAATAACGAAATAAAATATTTTTCTTATTTATCAAAAAGTGACATCTATCTTGAAAGTTCATTTGATTTATTTCATATGATATATATGAATAGATGATGATTAGGTTGGTTTGCTGAAATTGAGAGGACACATTTGTTCTGTTATTCAGAAAATTGTAATTCTATATTGATAATATCAATAATTGTGTTAAATGCACTCACCTTTCAAATTACTTTTTTTTTCTATTTCTCTAATTACTGAAGCATAACTTTTTGTTGCTTAAAAGAAAATTTTTTTCATACTACTGTAGATCTTGTTTTTCTTTTGCATTATTCACAACTATTTAACGCATAAAAAAAATCATGTTGAATCGTTATTTACTATTAGCAATATTTTTACCGTCATTATGTCTATTAGTCAATGGTGGTGATGAATTCGAAGATTACCGATGTAAATGTGTTTGCCCATCATTTACTGTTTTACAAGATCCCACAATGAATGAAACAAATCGACGTGTTTATGTTGATGTTGTTGCACCGGATAATTGTACATGTGAACGTGTTGTTTTTCGTACAATACAAGCATCATCTAGTTTTCAGCAACGTTTTTGTCCAAGGTAAAATATATATTTTTTGTTAAAAAAATGCAAGACTAAAAAAGTGATTTCTTTTCTTAATAAGATGTGTTTGCAATTATGAAGTACGAAATACAACTACCATGAAAGTAAGTGTTCGGGAGAGAAAATAGCGGCGATGAACTTAAGTTTAAAATTATTTTAGGTCGTGGTTATCATAATAATGGTTGCAATATCGCTACTATTTATTTATATGTCATTTTTACTTTGTCTCGATCCAGTAATGAATCAAAATACGAAATCATCAGCTGCCGTTCGACAACCAAAACATTATCAAAGACAAGTCAATGAAGAAGTTAATCTATCAAATCCAACGCAAGAATGTGTATTCAGTGAGCCAACTAGCACTGGATTACCAAGTAGTCCACAGCGGCCATCAACTGTTTTAAATTTGGTTACACATGAACAATCAAAATGGAGAAAACAAGTATATGATCATTTCCGTTCTTTTCTTTGTTTACATAATCACTTTCGCTTTTTTCCCTCTAGGTACAACAGCAACGACAATCGGTTTATAGTAAACATGAAATACTTAATTAGTCATTCCATTGGTGTAGTCAACATAGAATAAAATCAAAATATGTACATAAATTGACATTTATTATACTTCCGTATGTTTATGAGTCTATTGTTGGTATTGTCTTTGAATATGTGTGATTTTTTAAGTCTCTATATTTTGTTTGCTGGCATTTATCAATATTTTTATTTTCGAGAAAAAGAAAATCAAAGCACTTATGTTAGAATGTCATTACTTGTCACAAATGTATTGATAACAGTTATAACATTGTAATTTGTCTTTATTTACCTTGATCAAAAATAGATGAAATAAATGTATAGATAGTAATTCTTTATGAGTAATGTTGAAATTATCAGTTTCATTTTACAAAATCGAATATTGCAATTGAATTTTAATATCACATATAGTTTGATCAATCTTTGAATGAAAAAATTGGGCTTAAAGGTGAGACATGCGCCAATTGATAATTTATTTACAGTGCAGTTTACAAATGTTTACATTGCTTCCTCAAAATAGTTCATTCATGCAATCGATTGCTTTCTTTCTTTATAGTTTCCATGTTTAGAGTTATAATTGTCATAGGTTATTTTCTGAAAATACCTATATAGTCTATGGTCTATTTACTATGCACGACTTGAAAAAAAGCTAAATTGATTGCAGTCGTGTTGCACTCATTTTGTAAAATCTAGAGTGTATTGCCCTCTGCTGATGTAAAGTTATAAATCAGCATATTCTAAAGTGTCAATCATCGCTTCGATCACGAAATACGAAACGCTTTTATTGAAAGAATAAAGAAACTATAGTGATATTGCATCAAGTAGCCAGTCGAAGTAGAATTTTGTTTAAAATTCATTCAAGTACTCATCATCGTTTCGACACAATCATGAAACTACTTTTGATTTCTTTTGTAAAATGAATATACAACAATGATTGAACCTTTTATTTCTAATGAAAGGATGTTGATAATATAATTATAAATGGCTTAGCTTCCGGTTCAAGCTTAAAAAACGGAATTCTACTGAAGCATATTCCAAATCAAATTATCCTAGACTTATTACAGTATTCAAAGCAATCAATGAATTCAAGAAAAAACCAATTTTGAGTGATCCATATAGAAGCGTGAAGCTCTATTGAGTTAATCGTTCTAATTTTATTAGTTAATTCAATATTCGTTCTAGAGCTCGTGGCGAATAATCATTTGATTGTTGAAGACGATCGATTGAACGTTATCATATTAATATATGAATGATGATATGTTAAAATTGGCACACACGCATCTCTTAATCAAACTTATTTCTTCAAATAGAACAAAAATAAGTTATATTTTTTCTGATTAGGCGTTGCTGGATGAATAGGATAGATCTGGGTGCTCATTTATTCACTGATTCCACATAATTTTGAGTCGTTCACATTGCAGAGTGTTAAATCAGCTTTTCAACGATGATTATGCCCATTTTTTCGATTCATTGATTGAATAGAAAAAAATAATAGAATTGCTTCTTATTTTTTGAGACTATTGATAGGATGGATGGATGGATAGATTTATTTTGGTCACAGATGTGTTTTATACTCGTCGATAAAAAAAAAGATTTTATTTTTGATTGATGGATTATATTCGTGCTTTGATTGTCCTTGATCATGATAACGAGTAACACAATTTATTCAGCATCAAGGTTAGCAATTGCATTGTGGATGAAAAAGTTCAATACTGTCAAACTTATAACTTGACTTCAGTTGAAAATAGAAAATTTCAACTTTCAATTCATAGCAATATATGTTATGAGTCACGATTCTTCAGAATGCTATTGGTTTAAAAGGTGAAAATTGAAATTTTCAATTTTCAATTGAATTCAGGTTTCAAGTTTCATATATATGAAAACGTTCATAGGGATCATATTTTGATCACACTCCATTACCATTCACTGAACAACTTCAGAAATCGAAACAATGTCTATAAGAACTTCTTTTATTTTTGACCAACATTTAGTCCATATCAGTTTTACTGACTTGAGATAGGTCATATATAATGAGAACGATGATTTATCCCAGTGCACCAGATTTACTCCCAATGATTTTGTTTTGTTGAAGGTCGCACATAAAACTAATGCATTCTATTATTATGTTGACTATGGTTATTGGTCTTTGTGTTGATTTTGCTATTAAGCCAGATTGGCAAAACATTCTGCACCATATGAGTATAAGAAGCCCGTCATGACTTTATCCTCATTCGCACAGACTAACTGACGACGCATCGTAGGTTAGATGAAACGTTAATTTTAAACACCATCATAGTATGGTCAGCAGATTCATGATTTTTGCTTCTCTGATGCTAATGAGAGAAAAAATGTAACCATATATGCAGATTTCTTTTGGATTAATAAGAGACTGTGATACATCATAAACTTATGATACCCAAGAGCATTTAGATAGTAGTAAACAAGACTTTTTTTAGCGAAATTGCAGTTATTATGAAAAGGATTCTTTCACTTTAATTAAACTATGCAATCATCATTAGAAGCTTTCTTTTAGTTTAATAACTCATTACTATAGTGAAGAATAACTTTATTGTTATACAACGGAAATCTTAACAAAACGACTAAAAAATAATAATATTGTAAGAAACTTTTTGTGTATCTTGCGCTTTCTTTTATTACCATAGCCTAAAAACAAGAGAAAAAGGGAAATATTTACATGAGAATATATAATAAAAATACATGATGGAACGTTCATCATGATCAAGGTGAACTAATCAAAAACTTCATTTAAATAGTAATGTACATAAAATATACGAAAGACAATCATACACTTGATTGTGACCATATACTAGAATGATTGACTTTTGTTGTGAAAAAAACAAAAGAAAGAACAACAAAACAATAAAAATCATTTTATGATGGCGCACAATCGAATGAGTAAATGCGTCGCGCACGTCTTGTAGTTTCATCATCATCATCATCATCATCGTTATCGTCATCATCGTCATCATCATCGTCATCATCGTCATCATCATCGTTGTTGTCGTCGTCATCATCAGCATTCTTAAAAAATAAATAAATATTTTCTCTTTTTATTTACAAAGCTAAAAAAATGAATACTTACAGCTCTTCGAACGATTCTTCGAAAGACTGGACGCATTAGACGTAGTAGACCACCTGTATCTGTATCGAGTACAGTAGCAAAATGAAGTTCATGTTCACGTTCACGAGCATTTCTTTTCATTAGCTAATCGAAATATCAAAGAAGACAATGGTATTTTCTGTAGTTACAAAAATTTTATCCTACCATTTTAAGTCGTTTATAACAGACAGATTTGTTACTTAGCGGTGCCCATATTTTGACATCGTGTTCAAGACCACTTGTGGCGATTATGGGAAAATGTGGATGCGGTTCAAGAACATTTACTGTACCATCATCATCACCTTTGTCAAACCAAATACATTTTTCAGAGTCTTTATCCCAAATAAATACATGACCACAATCACTGCCACTAATAATATATTCAGAATTACGACCATAAAAGTTAACGCCTTTCACTAAATAAAAACGTTGTTTAATATAGAATACAAAAACAAAACATATTCACAAACCTGTATTACTATTTCGATGGCCACGATAACGATGAATAGCATCTGCACCATCGGAATGCGTTGCATCAAATAAATAAATGTCGTCATCGTTATAGGAGCCGAGAATTTCTGTAGAAAAGCAAAATATTTAAATAATAACCTTCACCGGAGTTATATCCAAAATCGAAGAAAATTTATCTGCGACAAAGTACATCGTTAAATTGAACAGATTATTCATTTTTATTTATTCATATTGACATAGAAAAATGGTTTATGAACAAAATAATCAATATTTTAAGCTCTAACGGTATCAAATTATGACAGTAGATAGTTGCGTTAGAATTTTACTCAAGTTTTAAATATCATTTTCATTTGAAAAATATGGTTACTATCCAAGATTATGATTTACTACATGATAGAATCCATTATGTTGATTGAGTTCTTTTAAAAGAAACGTATTGTTAACGCTTGTTCTTTCTCAAATCGTGATAATCTTAATGAGTTTTTACTCAACTGTAGAATAGTACAAAGAAGGTAAACCGGACATCCGCCACTTGATTTTTAATAACGTCTCTTAGTTTTACGTCAATTTTGTTAATCGAAACGACATGTAAAAACTCCGGCACGAAATTATAGCTTAACTGATATTTTCCTTTGATTTCACTATGACTCGTTCGTTCACAGAAATTCCAACGAAACCTCAAGTGAATTAATGAATTTTAAAGTTAGAATATTTTTTCTTAATCTTGGTTTAGTATAGATCAGTTCGAAATCGTTCACTTCTCATTGTAAAAATTTATTTGTACAATTTACATGAAGAATCCGTAAGAGATTAGTCAAATGGAAAGATTTCTTTATCAGTCTCAGCAAGATTGGCCCTACGGTAACAATATAACATCATATATCATTTGAAAAATACTAACCAGTGCCATTATAATTATAAACAGCACATGTAACCGATGGTTGTCTTTGGCGGTCTTCAATTTTTTTCTATAAAAACAAAAAGTTTTGTTTTCACACGAATTTGTTTTCTCTATTATTCACTTACTAATAAGTCTGGACAAAAGTTTTTCAATGGTCTTGCTGTAACCGAATCAATATATCGACGATCAAAAACACGTATATACGGATCCATACCAGCAATAACAAATTCATTTTGATTATTACGATTCAGTTCAATTGAATATAGAGGTAAACTATTCATGGCGTCACTACTTACTGATAGTATTCTATTAGAGAGAAAAAAAACGAAAGAAATTTCTATGAATCGAACGTGAACTATTTTTAAAGAAAAATCTATTACTTATTTGATTTATTTTCTCGAATATCAACGTGAAAAACAATCCCATCTTCACCACATGAATATATATCAGTACCTGTTATATTATCTATGGATAACTAAATGGAGAATGAAAATTATTTTTTTGGTTTATTTTTCTATTTCCATTCAAATTACTTTATGAGCTGAGGCTGAATGTTGAGCAATTTTTTTCGTACGCGCTAATGAACCATCTGGATGAAGTTCAGCTAAACGAATTTGACCGTCTCGCGCACAACTTACAATTCTGCAATCATCAGAAAATGGTATAAATTTTGCCTGATAAGAAAAACATATAATTTGTTTTTCTGAATATAAAGTCAAAAAAAGAAGATATTACTTGAAACACATTACTATGATGTTCACTGTCATAGGCAACAGCTGCTTGATTTGATGCCCAATCCCATAAAATAATTTGTAAATCATCTGAAGCACTTGCTAATAATGTTCCTAGAATAAAAAGTAATTCGATTTAATTCGAAATAAATTAAATAAAAAATGAAAATTGTATTACCAGTTCTATTAAATGCTAATGCGTTAACACAGCCATTATGCCCATCGAGAGTATGTGATACTTTCATTCGTTGGATAAGATTTGGATCAGCTATCATATGATTATGAAAAGCTCGACATGTTGTGCGTTCTCTCGGCCGATGAAATATGCCAAGTTGACGTTGTCGAAGCCGTAAATAACGATTTGTTGTTGGTGGTAAAATATTTTGTTCATTAGTATCATCTGCTTCGTCTTCGTCTTCGTCTTCATCATCATGTTTTTTTTCATTATCGTCATCGTCTTCATCGGTTGCTGTTGATTCATCTTTGGATGCGCTCCTTTTTGTAGTTCGCATAGAATCATTTGTTTTCTCATCTTGTCTAATCATTTCTTCAATACCAATATTTAATTTACGCCGTTTTTTAAGGCCAGTACTGCTCGTCGTTTTCTTATGCTCAGTTGTTTCATGATTTTCAACATTTGTTACCGATGATGATAATAATTCATTAATAGGTTTATTTGTGTTTTCATTATTTATTTTTGTGTCAGAATCTTCATCAGGATGAGAACCAACTCGAACGCGCTTTCTTTGTGTATAATCTTCATTATTTGGCTCCTCACTTGGGTTTTGCTCGTTTTCATCGGGTGCGTTTTGTTCGTTAATTTCACTTGAAGATTGAGAAGTCATATTTGTTTTAGAAATAATGATTTAAAAAAAAATTGTTTTTCTCGACTTCTGTGATCGCACGATTCTGTTATTGATATATTTAGTAATATGTGAAGTCGTAAATATATTAGTTAAGTATTCGCAGAAAACGACATCTGATTGGTTGTTAAAATTTAGCCAATGAAAAGAAAGGATTGACGCATGTTTGTTGCTGCACAACTGATGAGGAGTGAATATTTAAATGGAATATATTTCTTGATTTGATTTGATTTCGATTTCATATTAATATAATATGACGGTTCATTTTAATAGTTATAAAAATGATTATTCTTTTTTTATTTTGAAACATGAAGAACCTGTTTTAACAATAATTTCTAGATACACTAATAATTCATAAAAGAAAAACATGTTTCAGCCAGGTAGATATCTTTTGTCATTGTAAGATTCTTGAAAATATTCACAGTCCATTTCTATGTTGATTAGGAAAGCAACCTGTTGGCGTTTCAACTCAAGATCGATTGATGTCAACATCTTTTCGATATGAAGTAAATAAAGGTAAACCGAATAATAGTGGGATGCGAATGCAACAAACTGCTCAAGTAAATAGAATCAATTTTCAATAATAAGAATGAAATTTGTTTGATTTTCATTTAGTTTGAAGAAGTTTATTTCAAGCAACAGAAAGAACTTGAACAGTAAGATTGTTTCCATAAAAAAAAGTTTCACAAAAGCATGAACGTGTCACTAACAGTTCAAATGGTTGATACAGAATTTGCACAAAAAGATATTTTATAGAATATTTTTTTTTCTTCATAAACATACGAAAGAAATCATATATTTTGTAGTGGTAGTTTTTCGAGCTTTTGCCATACTCATCTTCAAGTCCTTGAACTATTAAATAAGTTAATCTTGTTTCTTAGTTGCTTGAAGTTTTGTAACGTGTCAGACATCGAACACGATTATTTATTATAATATTTCTTCTAAAACTCCCCAATTTAGCTGTATGACCATCAATCTTTGAATATTTTAGAAATAAATATGAACAATTTAAAGCCAAATGGGCAGAACAATCGGCTTGGGCCAATGTAGCATTACAAGAATCATCAATAAATAAACAGCGCGGACAAGAATTATTATTACTTCGCAAAGCTCATCTGACAGTACGTTTTCAACTTGAATAAGGCATATAAGCTATTGAAAAGGCAATGTACCTTTAGAAAAATGTCTAATATTTTTCTTCTAAACAAAAAGAATTTTTTAAAATTTTTACTATTTAATAATTTAATAGGTACGTCGTGCTGCGCTAGCAACATTACTTCAGAATGAACAACGCGGTTATGAACAAGAATTCCAAAGTAAAGGCATGGCAGTTTACAAAGATATGTATCAAATTGATCCTCAATGTACACCTCTTGACTTATATCGATAATTTTAATTATTTTTCTTCCATGAATAAATTATCTTTCTTTCTATTTTGATCATCAAGCCTAAGTAGTAATGATGAATGAATGTAATTGAAAAATGAATATAAAACTATTAAAGTATTTAGACTTTCCGTTTTGTTTCTTTGAAACTTTCGAACGTTTCAATGTATCAATGCATTTTATGTTGACAATAAACGAACAAACAAATGTTCTATGATCTAGTTCACATGTTTCTTATTGCATTTCCAGCTATCTTTCAGAAATGCAATATGTTACGTCAATTAGTATATCGAAAATTCATATTGGAATATGTAACTAAATGAAATTATGGCATTAGGATAGCTAGAGTAAGTGGGGGGTAAGTGTAAAATGAAAAATAGTGTACCGTAGAATAATTGCGATAACTTTTTTAGTTTTCATTTTAAAAAAACGTTTCGACGACAAGACACTTAGCTAAGATGACACTCTATGGACCGGTGCAAAAGTCAACTGAAAATCCTGTACGTAGAGCATCTGCAGGTATTCTTTGATCACCATTTTTCATGTTTACATTCCCTCTCGTTGGGGTGAATGTATAATCACGCTAGTGTCACTGAGATAAATGTATAATCGCAGCAAATTTTGCTAGGCACACTAAAACTCAACTTTCATCAGACTCATTAGGAATTATGTGGTGTTCTCAGCAGAAAAATAGTTCAGAATGGTGAGCTTATTAATTTGGAAGCACTTCAAAAATCAATTTCATGATTTTTATGCATATTTTCTTGTTATACGGGAGTGAAACATCAAACTGCAGCATAAAATAGCTATTGTTCAAGGGGAATTTCGCCAAGCCTGAGATTTACTTAATATTGTCTTCTCTTTAAAAGAAGTTAACCTCTATCTTGGTTATATTTATGCTGCTATTGAGCAAAAAAATCTTTTTCTAATTTATTAAAATTAATAATTAATCAACTTAATTATTGGTTTCGTCTGAATTTTATTAAATAAACTAACATTTTGATATGTTTTTCATACAAGCTAGGCGTAAATAACTGTGGTCTATCTTAAAAGAAATTCTCAAATAGATTTAAAAAACAAATTCTTAGGTAAACGTGAAGAATTATTAATCTAGCTACAAAATCTTCCGATGACCTGCTACCAGTTAGATATATAAGTTAATAATATATTCTTAACGTTTTTCAGACCGTTTGTAAATGATAGAAGTATTTTTCTTATTTGCCATCAGATTCATCTTTTTATAAAGTTAACTCGCTATTAGTAAACTTTATTTTTTAACGAGCCAAATAAATGAGATCTATCAAGAATTGAAGTGAATTATTTACAGTTACAACGCGACATCTTCATTGTTACTATAGATTTGAAAATAGTTCAGCTCAAAACTAGATCTATAATTAATATTTTTAATTAAAGTGAGCAATAAACTTGCTGAAAGTCACTGAAGTTCAAAATTAAACATCAATTGAATAAATATCTGAATACTTCGCTATATTTGTTTCGGACGATGTTACTGTCCTAACAAATTTTCTTCTATTGATCAAAATTTACTTTGAACATGCAATAACTCAGTCATAACTATCAATTCACAGACATGCAGCACCACTAAATAGTCCTTACTTGGCAATGACAATCGCTGTTTATAGAGTATCGTTTGAGGATATTTCTTCGAACTTTTACGTAAATATAATGAAAATCACTTGCAACATTACGATAAAGTATAGTAACAATTTTTGCGCTAGATTTCGATGAATTTTCAATCAGGTTCAACAATTACATTTGGAGATCACTGTGAAACATTGCAAATAATAAAATTTTCATAGCAAAACTCCTTGAATAAGCTGAACAACCTGTTGTGCCCAAATTTAGATAGAACTCATCATATACCAGTTACTGAAGCTATGGAACACTAACAGAAAGCTATAGAAAACAAGCATACCCTTACTTATTACATAATGATCTATTGAAAAATTAACCCTCGGCGTCTCTGTTCAACTATTTTACAGCGTAAACTGACTACGAAATGTTTCAGAGCAGATAATACGACTCTTGGTTTCTTTTAAAGAGAAGACAATATCAAGTAAATCTCAGGCTTGGCGAAATTCCCCTTGAACAATAGCTATTTTATGCTGCAGTTTGATGTTTCACTCCCGTATAACAAAGAAAATATGCATAAAAATCATGAAATTGATTTTTGAAATGCTTCCAAATTAATAAGCTCATCATTCTGAACTATTTTTCTGCTGAGAACGCCTCATAATTCCTAATGAGTCTGATGAAAGTTGAGTTTTAGTGTGCCCAGCAAAATTTGCTGCGATTATACATTTATCTCAGTGACACTAGCGTGATTATACATTCACCCCAACGAGAGGGAATGTAAACATGAAAAATGGTGATCAAAGAATACCTGCAGATGCTCTACGTACAGGATTTTCAGTTGACTTTTGCACCGGTCCATAGAGTGTCATCTTAGCTAAGTGTCTTGTCGTCGAAACGTTTTTTTAAAATGAAAACTAAAAAAGTTATCGCAATTATTCTACGGTACACTAGTTTTCATTTTATACTTACCCCCACTTACTCTACTATTCTCGATAAGTTTTATCATATTACAGTATAGTAAAAGAATTGCTGCTCATTTTTCCGTTCTCAATCAATCATCAAAAGAAATTCTGATAACATAGTGTACATTATTAAAATGATATTAATTTAATATCATTCTATAATAGTATTCTGATCGGATGAAAATTATTAATGCGATGCGAAGCATTGTATTTCTGTAGTTCGTCGCGAGTTTTCTTTTGCTTTTGCTTTCTCAACGCACGCATCTTTTTCATCATTTTGTAACCCGATGATCTCAGCAGTGGGCAGATTTCCGAAAAAGGAAGTTTCCTAGCTAAAAATACATATTTCGGAAATTACAAACATGAAAAATTCATCTTTTAGAAAATACCGGAAACTTTCGAAGTAACCGAGATACTACGCAACGCCAGCAAACACAGTGATGGAGTAATTTCTTAGAAATTTCGGAAATTACCCATAATGAATAGCAACATAATCACAAAACTTCCATACTAAACTACTCCCAACTCGAAACTTCCAAAGAAATTACTACAATTCCAAATACATCCCAATGAAAACTACACAAATCTACAGAACACACTAACGCAAATTACCTGGAAATAACGGTAATTACCGAAATTACTAGAATTTCTTCTCATTTTTGAGGGTGGGCCTTCAAATCTAAACATATACCAGTGTATGTATATTATATTAACTATGGAAATTTTCGTATTTACTGTAATTTCTTTTGGATTGTGGAGCTGATTTCTGAAATTCCCTAGATGTTCTGTTGATTGGTATGTTAAAATATGGTAATTTCTGAGAATTTTCTTTTTCAGTTAATGGCGATTTCGGAAATTACAAGGAAATTTCTGTTGGCACAGTTGTGTGTCTTTCGATATTTTGTTAGAAATTCGGTATTTTCTGAAATTTACTTTTTCGGAAATCTGAACATACCTCGATCTAAGATAATGAATCATGGAGATAATTAATCGATCAATCGAAATCGTTCTGTAAGAATCTATTACTAAGTATCGATAGTATTTTCGGAGCGATGAAATTCATCATGTCTACATGAAAATAATCAAACATATCTTCGAATTCAAGAGTTTTCGTAGTAGATCCTATTCGAGCCTCGCATCGCATTCGTATTCGAGTGAATACTTGAATACCATCTAGTTGTTTTTGAAATCGTTATTAACTATTTCGTTTTTTATTTATGATTTTGTTTTTCAAATCATATTTTGACCTTTTTAATGCAATTATACGTATGAGATACTTTGTGTGAGGATCGGGTGAAATTGACTGAAAATATAAAATAGCATGCTGTTCAAAATCAATCCATTCGTACCATCATTTGAAAAATATCTATGACACGATTTAATACAAAATTCAGTGATATAAAACATTCTTTATCGTATCTTCTCTTTGTACAAATATGTCTACCATGAGTGAAATGAGTGTTGACACCACTTGAAAATTTTCAATATTGGGAGCGACTTTTTGCTTGGACCTTTCGATCAATTGGAATGTTTTCATCGCCGAGAACGTCTTGTGTTCATTTGTTCTTCAATGAAAATGTGTTGAGCATGTAGGTGACTGAATTGACAAAAGTATGAATGCCAACATATACTTGACGACTATACTATCTTTTGTTGTTCTATAAGCACGTCGTCGTGATCAGTTTTCTTTGTGGGCAGATTATTTTTTGATTTTATCTATGAATATTTGTTATTCTTTTTTAGCTGTTTTTTTTTAATTCATCATACAATGCAGAAAAATATATAGCCAATACTCGTAGGAAGAGCGTTACGGCAATCGTCATATAGGATTGTAAATCATTGCTGACGAGTACCATAAATGATATTATTATATAGTGATATACAGCTATATATGTCTATCGTGCGCGATAGTCGTTTACGATTGTGAAGTTTCGAGTTGCGTAAGCTGTTTGGATATGTCTCTGACACAAAAACTTGTGAAGATATTCTATATCATTTTTCTTGAAGACGAGTGGAGAGCGCGGCAGTCTAAGCAAACAATTAGCTTTCGTGACAAACTATACCAAGAACATGTCTTATCACGCTCTAAAAACATAGAGCTCTACCAAAAATTCATACATCTGCAATCTGCTGTATCAATAAGTAATTTTCACTGATTCATCCTTTCGCAATTTTATTCTGAAATAATTTAGTCTGGGTTTTTCGTGAAAATTCAGATTGAAATCAAAGGATCCATTAATAAAGTTGTGGTAATAGTAACACTTGTTTGATATAGAAGGTTTCAGTAACAGAATATTATCACAATCGAAATGTGCGATTATCACCTTTTAGGCATGTGCTCGTTATCTTTCATAAAGAAAAATGTTGCTCGTTGATTTTTCGTTCTACTTTAACTTAATTATCTATATCAACTGAGTAAATAATCTTTTATGTGCATCTGTTGTAAGCATTACATATAGATATGACTGAAGAGAACAAGTCTGACTCGCAATCTACAATGATCGAGCATCTTTTGTTTTATGTCAATGGAAAAGAAGTTATTGAACGTCATGCAGAACCCGATTGGACTCTTCTATGGTACTTGAGAAACAGTAAGTGACACAATTTATTGAATATTCTTGCATTGAATATACGTATGTCATTATTTTACTTTTAGAATTGTGTCTCACTGGTTCGAAATTGGGTTGCGGTGAAGGTGGTTGTGGAGCATGTACAGTCATGATTTCTCGATGTATCGATCGAGAATCTGGTAAAGTTGAACATCGAACTATAAATGCTTGTTTGGCACCACTTTGTTCAGTTGATGGATGTCATGTCATTACAGTGGAAGGCTTGGGCTCAGTCAATAAATCTAATATTCATCCAATTCAATCGCGTCTGACTGAGCTATTCGGTTCACAATGTGGCTTTTGTACACCTGGTATGGTTATGTCTCTCTATGGAACAATCACAACCGCTAAAACTCCACAACCAACTTTGCAAGATATTGAAGAAGCTCTAGATGGAAATCTTTGTCGGTGTACCGGATATAGGCCAATTCTTGATGCTGTTAAAACATTTGCAAGTGATATAAAAAAATTACCGACAGGTGAACCCTGTGCTACAACCTCGACAACATTAGATAAATGCATTTTATTTGAGAAACAAGATTCAATAGTATCAAATCACATAGATTTTCCTGCAAAACTACAAAGTTATACACCTCAATCAATTCATATTCGTGGTAAAATCTCATTTTAATATCGATTCTTTTTTCACTAATAGACTTATAGGTTCTTCAATGGATTGGTTTCGTCCTACATCATTAAAAGAAGTATTACAACTTCGTCGTACCTATCCTGGTGATGCATCAAAATTTGTCTTTGGTAATACTAGAGTACAAATGGAAAGACAAATGAATGTAATGAAATTTCCTCGTCTTATTGCTCTTACACATGTGGAGGAATTACAAAAATTGAGTCGAACACATGATACCTTGTGTTTGGGTGCTGGCATTACATTTTCACGTTTAAAATCGCAATTAATCGAATGGGTAAATGACAAAATCAATGATGGTGGCATATGTGAAGCTTTGCTAAATCAACTGAGATATTTTGCATCAACACAAATACGCAATGTAGCCTCGCTTGGCGGTAATATAATTACTGCTTCACCTATGTATATGAGAAAAAACGATTAGGCAATCTCGATCATATTATTGCTATGTTTTTCTTTTACTAGCTCGGACATCAATCCAGTGTTGCAGGCGGCGAATGCGATTCTAGAACTTCATCATGCTGATACAAATGTAGTTCGTCAAATACCATTGCGCGATTTTTTCCTCGGTGCTCGTCGTATATCTATGGATGAAAATGAAGTTCTTGTTACTATCCATATTCCTCTACCGGATTCGTCTGTAAAATATTTTCTTCGTTCGTACAAACAAGCTCGTCGCCGAGATGATTCCAAAGGTATTGTTAGTGCTGGATTTCAAGTTCAACTTGAACAATCGAATTCAAGTGATAGTCAATGGCAGGTTGCTTTTGCTTGTTTTTCATTTGGTGGAATGGGCTCAACAACTGTTATGGCTAAAATAGCTCAACAAAATATAATTGGACTACCTTGGACACGATCAACCATGAACAAAACTTGTGAATGGATTCTGAATGAACTTCCACTTGACGAAACAAGTTTAGGTGGTCAACCTGAATACAGGTATCATATGTCGCTTATCTACTAGTTATTTCAGTGAGGAAAGGATAGAACGATATACTAGAGAACTAAGAATACCGTCCAAATTTAATTATAATGTTCTTGTATAGCTAGTTAAAAGCAAAGTATGATTTTTGAATAAGTTTTCGGAAGTTTCATTGACAACTAGTTAACAATTTTATAACGTTCGAATACCGTGCATTTGAAATGTGTTTTTGTTTGTAGAGCCTCTGATGGATTGCACGAATAGAGAAATTGATAAAACGATTGTTATACCATTTAGACGAACATTGATGCAATCATTCCTCTTCAAGTTCTACACATATATATGCTGTGAATTACGTCAAACTACCATCGATCCAACTGATAATTCAATTGCTTATCCTTATCGTCGGCCTATTTCTCATGCTCAACAAACAATACCAAAGTGCCCACAATCTCAAAAAGTTGTTGGAACTTCATTGCTGCATCAATCAGGCTATTTACAGGCAACTGGAGAGGCTACCTATGTTGATGATATCCCATCATTAACTAATACGTTACATGCTGCATTCGTACTGAGCACGAAGCCAAATGCTCGCATTAAACACATAGGTACGAAATCTGAGATTTTCCCCCTGATACGTTAGGTTCAAAGTCTATTTTAATAGATATTGAAGCAGCCTCACAAGTTCCTGGTTTCGTCTCGTTTGTTACTCACACTGATGTACCAGGTTCAAATCAAACGGGTCCCATAGTACCAGATGAGGAAATATTTGTTTCATCAGTTGCACCGTGTATTGGTGCTGTCATTGGTCTCGTTGTTTGCGAATCTGAACAAGCAGCTTATAAAGCTGCGAATCTTGTACAAATCGAATATGAACTTTTGACGCCGACTATTTTGACTATTGAAGATGCTATTATGCACGAATCGTATTTTGGAAATGAAATATGCCTTCAACAAGGTGATATAGACAAGAGTCTTGCCGAAGCCGAACATAAAGTGGAAGGAACACTGATGATTGGTGGTCAAGAACACTTCTATTTGGAACCAAATTGTTGTATGGTTATACCGTCTATGGATGATAATGAAATTACCATGTATTTGTCAACACAGAGTGTAAGTGCCCCGCAAGAACTGACTGCACGGGCACTTGGCCGCGATATCAGTCGTATTAAATGTCACAATAAACGCGTTGGTGGTGCATTTGGTGGTAAAGAAACCAGGCCGTACGTCTCGATTAATATTTTTGTTTTGTTTCTGTATTTTAAATAAGATAGAGATAATTTGTGTTTATTGTTCTAGTATACCTCTATGTATTGGGATTGCAGTAGCAGCAGTAAAAGTTGGCCGTCCAGTTCGTTTCAATCTTGACCGTCATACAGATATATCTATTACAGGGCATCGTCATCCGTTCAAAGTTGAGTATAAAGTAGGTTTCACCGCTAATGGTAATTTGTTAGCACTTGACATTCAACTATGGAATAATGGAGGTTGTTCCTTGGATTACTCAATTTCTATTATGGAACACGCCATGCTTCATACAGGCAATTGCTATCGATTTCCAAATATACGTATACGTGGTCGCAGCTGTAAAACACATTTACCATCGAATACAGGTATGTTCTTCAAAAATATCTTGCTTTTATTCTTTTAACGATAATAATCAATTTCAGCCCTACGTGGTTTTGGTGGTCCTCAGGGGATATTAGCATCTGAGAATATTATTGAGCATATTGCTAGTTACCTTAAAATGGATCCATTTAATATTCGCCAGCTGAATCTATTTAAAGAAGGAGACACAACACATTATGGGCAGATATTAGAGCATTGGAATGTTCCTCGAATATTGAATGAAATAATTACTTCAAGTGATTTAGTTACAAGACAAAAACAAGTCGATGAATTTAACCGTACAAATATCTATCGAAAACGTGGTATTAGTATTATTCCAACAAAATTTGGTATCGGTTTTCTACTTCGATTTCTGAATCAGGCAGGTGCTCTTGTGCATATCTATAAAGATGGCTCAGTTTTAGTCAGTCATGGAGGTATTTCGATTTCTTATTCGAACTAAAAATATATATGATTTGTTGTTTTTCTTTGCTAAGGTATCGAAATGGGACAAGGTTTAAATACTAAAATGATAGCCATAGCAGCTGAAGTCTTAGGTTGTGGTGTTCATCGTATTCGAATCAGTGAAACAGCATCTGATAAAGTGCCTAATGCAAGTTCAACAGGCGGTTCAGTTTCATCCGATCTTAATGGCATGGCTGTAAAGCATGCGTGTGAACAACTTCGTGAACGATTAAATACACTTATTGTTGATAATAATGCCGAAATATCATGGGAAAATTTAGTTACACAAGCTTATTTTTCTCGCCTTGACCTTTGTGCACATGGATTCCACGCTACACCCAATATGTTTGATTATGATCTGTCTCAAAATCGAGCTCAATACAATTATTTTACACAAGGTGCAGCAGTATCTGAAGTCGAGTTGGACACATTGACTGGCGATTGGCATATATTACGCGTCGATATTCTCATGGTAGGTCAAATTTTGTCGTAGAAAAACGACCTATTTTTTCAAACATTGAATAGACATATAGCCGTCTTCGAAAGTCGTTCTAATTGACTTATTTATGTTGAATTTAGTTTTTACTTGACCACAGAAGATCAATAGAATAGAATAAGTTCAAGAATCTTTGTGATCTTATTGTACTCACTTTCCGAATATGTTAACTTCTCCTACACTATGTTATAGACAGCAATTTAGACATGTATTATTACAGTCTATCTAATCTATCGATTTTTAGAATAAGAGTATGGCATATCCATAATGGAATATCTCGAAAAAGAGTAGACTATAGCATAGTCTAATTTTCGTCGCAACATATTCCATGATATTCGATTATTTTTCTGTCATAGGATGTTGGTACATCTCTAAATCCTTATATTGATATCGGTCAAATTGAAGGTGCCTTTATGCAAGGTGTCGGTTTATTTACTATGGAAGAACTGATATGGGGCGATCATGAGCAACAAAAATGGATTAAACCTGGTTTCTTATTCAGTCGAGGCCCAGATACATACAAAATTCCATCATTCAGTGATGTTCCACTTGATTTTCGTGTATCACTTTTATCTGAATCATCGAATCCAAGAGCCATCTATTCATCAAAAGGCATTGGTGAACCACCCATTACACTTGCAAGCTCAGTATTTTTTGCACTGAAACAAGCATGTATGGCTTATCGAAAGCAGCAAGGTTTTTCGGATTATTTTACATTGCAATCACCTGCCACAGTCGAACGACTTCGAATGGCATGCTCTGATGAATTCACTAACCGTGCATGTCTGACCGATCATCAGAACTTCCAACCACGGGGTTCTTACTAATTGTAATTAGTAGTGCTTGAACTATTTCTGTTTTTAATCATTAGTGGCAGTTTTTTTTTAGTTGAAAATATTAATCTAATTATAATTTCTTTAAATTCATTTTCCCGAATTGTATGATTTATAAATCATCGTTGCTAATGACAATTAAAAAGCCTTACAATATTCTTTACTAACAGCTAGAAATCATTGTAATGAAGATTTCAAGAGTAGTGTGATCATTTCCTTCTGTTTTAAGAAATATTACATTCAGATTTTATTTACCAATTGTGAAAAAATTTATTTTTATTCGTGATGAATTGAGCTTTTCATAAATACTAAACATGCAACATGGCACATACAAACAATAAATAAAACTAAACATATTAAAAGCAAACCCTAACGCATTGATACACATACTAACAAAAACAACATTCATCTGCGATCATTACAGAGCATAACTCCTGAGATAAGACTTGAGTAAAAAGAAAAAAAGAATTTGATTTGAATATATTCAAATCAAATTATCTGACTGACTAATATGTTTCATAAGAAAATAAAGTGCAAAAATCCATCGTTCATTTTCTTCATTTATCTGTATATGACGTAACGATTGTATTTTATTCCAAAATAAATTAAGTAATTTGATACGTTGCGTTGACAGATTATTATTATCAATATCGGTATTGGAAAATTGAAATATTTGATTAGATAAATAACGATATGAAATATTTTCAAATGTAACGAGATCATTAAATATCGGTAATGATGACGAATCAAATAATTTAGCAGCGAGATTTTTAATAAATTGTTCAATGGATTCTTGTTCATTGATTACAGTTGAAGTTGTTGTGACAATAATGGGCATAGTTGAATGGCTAACAATAAGAAAATGATCAAATGTTGTCATTGTCTGAGTAGAATCATGAGAAAATTCATCAAGAATTTGTAAGAGTAAAACATAGATTGATTCATTCGATGCAGTTTTTGATAATTGATGTTGATATAGAAAAGATTTCAATGTTTGAAAACGAGCTACGGGAAGATTATGTTTATATTCATCAATGACTATTCGAAGATCATGTGTGATACGTTCAATAGTTAACTTAATGGTTTTATCAAATATTGTTACTTGAGAAGGATTTTTTTCAATTGGTGATACCGCTGTTAAATAAGTCGGTTCGCTTGTTGTTAAATTATTAACTAAATTACTATCATATTCATTGCTCGAATGTGTTGAGGATGACGTTGTTGATGCAATTGATGATCCATAATTAGATTGTCCATTTAAAACTGGCGGTATATTGTACGGTTTCGTATTGATAGTTAGTTTTTTTTCACGGCCCGGCAATGCATGTTGACGTCTAGCAATGCTTAAAGCTACAAACAAAAAGTGAGGTTCGTTGAACTTTTCTCAGATAAAATAGTCCTGAAAACTTTCCAAGCTTATCTCACATTCAAACGATTTATAATAAAATTAATATTTTTTTTTCCAAAAATACTAAAGATCGAGCTCTAATCTGAATAGTATTTAGAATCATTGATGACGTCTTTCATACTAAATTTCATGGATAGACTATGAGAGAAAGAAATCTGAGAAATCACATGCTTTAGCTTTTCATATAAAAACTGAAAAGTAAATTTGTAAACGTACCATCCTATAGAGTATTAAGTCATTGATGGACTTAAATCTTTGCACATTCTCTAAGATCGTATCTCAAATGTTTGAAAACTAGTCTTTTAATAGGAGTTTTTTCGATTAAAATCTATTCATCATCAAACATACCTTCACTCAATGTTAATTTATTCATTTCAGGTAAAACACGAATTCTTGGTTGATGATTTTGACTGTTTAATATTGGACTAGAAATCTACACGAAAAATAACAATAAATTATGTCTTTGCTATTTTCGTATTAATAACTAAATGTTGATAGTTACATTGGATTTATTGAGATCGTTGATCGATTCATTTTGAACTACTGGTGATGGGTTTGCTTTTTTGGTTCTAAACCACCATAATCTTGATGTGTTATTATTATCAATAATATCTGTTTTCTTTAAACATTCATCAGCATTGCTTTTACTTTTTTTCAGCAGATGAATCCTTTTTTGCTTTTTTACCGGACTCGGTTTTGCCCGTATATCCGGCCCAATAAGAACAATGCCTTGTGTGCTAATCATTGATTGATTTTGTACAAATTCAATAGCTGATGTTTTATTAAAATCTTGTTCTTCATCAGAAAATGAATCTTCATCATCATCGATTTCATTTTCAATTGGTGTTGGTATTCGATCAATAACTGATGTTGATTGTAATGTATTTACATCGGTTGTATTTATTGTAAAATATTGCGCCATAATTTCTTCATAGAGATGCATTGATGAAGATGATGATGGTAGAGCAGGTTTTTTCTCTGATTGCAAATGTTCACATTTAGTTTCATTGCTAGTAAATTTTTCATGGCCTGAACGATTTTGATGACAATTTGTACATAATAATGGTTTCCATGGGTTAGCTTGAAAAAGGTCACACATGATTTATTTTTGTTCTAAAATTAAAAATTTAATAGGTTAATTTTCATGTTTTTAAGATTTTAATCAAACAAAAAAAAATAAATATGAATGTTCTTTGTTGGATTAATATACAAAGGAAAAGAAAATAGATTAGACCAACATGATAAACAGTGAAAACAAACATAATAATATCGATATCAAGTTTTCAAATAAATTTTTTTTATACCATTTCCTAGAAGAAAAAACAGTGCATTGATTAAAAAGAAAACTATCTTCCATTCTTTAACATACCAATGCTTCAGGCATAGAAATACCCATGAATTTCTGATAAGTATCTCGAATTTTTGTTAGAAATTCATTTCTACTTTTGTTTGTTAAACTTTCTAGTTTCCATCGGAATTGTCTCGTTTCCGATTCGTCAACAAAATCCAAGACGAGTAGTTTCGAATGATTTAAATAACTTGTCTTTGGAGGAAAACAAATGAATAATACAATTCATTAAATAACACCAAACTAAACTTACCACATTCACTAAATGCATAAGATCACATTTTAATTGTTGAGTTGAACCGGAGTCTGATGTTGGCAGCGCAGGTAAACGAACATGACGTGCATCAATTGTTGCATAAGCATCTTCAATCATTAAAATCCAATTTTGTAGAAGTAATAATGCAATCATTTGATTATTGCCAGCTACAAAAAAGAAAGAAATAGCGATGTTCCAATTTTAGATTAATATCATTCCTATTGAATTTAACACCACTAGACTCAATGAATCGTGATTATATAATTGTTTCCATTTTCGTATTCTTTTACTTGGAATGACGGCACATTTTGATTAATCGTTGTAGACAAACAAAAGTCTCAGCAGGATAGACTGATTTGATAAGATAAGAGTTTACCAAGTTTTCGAACCCACTCTTTAATTGGACTACAAAAATTGCCCAGTTCTCTAGCGAAGTCTGTCTTCTATACTTCAGTGTTTCACTCAAAGAACATGAGTAGTAGCTATATAATTAAGCTTTTCTGCCATAGAAATTCCCTATTCATATTTTCTACTAACTTTGATCCATTCTGATAACAATTGAATAAAAATCAATGATATCATCAGTTGGTTCATTAATATTGCATTCAGTTTTTATGATGTCAAATAAACGTTGCCGATATTCATCTGAACTAATACGACTAATTTTTTGTAATGCTCCTTCACCACTTTGAACAATCGGTGAAAGCACTTCTACAACATGTTTTAGAAAACTTATAAAAATAAATACGTAAAAAAATAATCAAAAATAGTTTACCAAGAATATTATTAACGATTTTTTGTGTTTGTTGTTGATCAGCAAGAAGAAAAGCGAATGCAGCTGATTGTAATTCAATTGTAAATGTTTGTAGACGATAACCAATGTCGAGCATCAGTACATTTGTTAAAAGATCTTTGCCAACCAGAACATATTCTGATTCTACATCATTATTTATTCTGTATGGCGCACAAGAAAAAGAACTAAATCAATTCATTGTCTATTAAAGTTAAAGTTTAGCATACGGTTCATGTTGAAATATATAAATGCCATAATCTGTTAGAATAGTTTGAGCAATAAAATATTTACTTGTTGTTGAACGAACAACAAAACACTGTGAAAAAGAAAAATATAAAATGAAATTTTTCTTTAAAGAATTTTACTTTAAAATGTAATATTATGCGTTCGTTATCATGTGTAAAATGTTGTGTAGCCAAATGAAAATGTAAACGATGGTCAAGTTCGACTTCTTCAGATAATGTATCAATAGTAGTTTTTGCTTGCAATTCATCGTCTTGTCTAATAAATATGCACAGATAAATGCATCAACGATTTAAGTTGCGAGCAAAAATATTTACTCAAGTGAAGCTGTTGGTGTAATATTTTGACAATTTCCACAAATAGAAGATGCTGCTTTGTCTAGAGGAAAAAGAATACAAAATCTTTTTTAGTTTTACTACTTGAAAAAAAGAGTCTGCAAATAAGACATTCTAATAAATTGATGAAATGGAGACAACCGGATGTGACGTTTTTCTAATCGATCCGGTTTTTTTTCTCTGAAGCGCAAGACTGCACGATTAATAGATCTGATGTAAAAATCTGTCGTATTTATTAACAAAAGATTTATTACAAGTATTGCCTGATGATAGCCTTAGTATTCTTCTCGTTTGACAAGTATACAAACGCATAAAGGTCATGTTATGTGTTATATAAGCAACTGTAAAATGGCATACTTCGTTTTGCCATAGATATTTCCTACTGGCAAACAACAAATTACATAACTTTATGCTTAATTTAATAAAAACGTAATAATTCTTAAGGACTTTTCTTCACGATACGCCATGCTGATCAATCAACATAGCATACTATTTTGTATCAGTTGATATGATGTGCAAAATGCGTCGCATTGTTGTCTGTTAATCACAAGGACAAAGACAGTTGCTTTGGAGATTTAGATTTTTCTATAAATTCTTGGCTGTATGTCACGATCAAAGAGAAGAAAATTGAATGAGAATGAAGATCGACTCTCAAGAGCAAAGTGTCTTTTTTCTTACATAGCTAAAATGTATGTAACTTAATCAATGCTAAACAAGTGTGCATGCATTTGCTGGTTTAGCTAAAAACTTTTCTCCTATCTGTACTTACCAATACTGTTCATGGTACTTAATCCAGAAAAACGTTGTCCACATTTAGTACACTAAATTAAAAGAAAAGTTAATAATTGTCTATTTCTCTTCGAAATAATTCATTTTCAAACCTCAATAAGCGTAGGCGAAATCGTTCTAACGTCAATTGGATCAGAGGATTCAAGATGACGTTCGATTTCTTCAACAAATGCCTAGAATTATTTATTAATGAATCATAAGAACAATCTAATCATCAATTTATTCGAACCTTTTGATCGTGTATTGTATCGAATAAATAAATTCTTTGCTCAACTTCACCTCTTCGCTTTTCAAATGTAAATTCAACAGTTTTTTTATTACTAAAACAAACAAGATACAATTAATAGAATTGATTTTCTCATATTCTCACTTTTCATTATCAGTTAAAAGTGTAATTGTTGAATATTTTAATTTTTCTAAATATTCTTCATCATTATTATCTTTTTCAATTAGATGCATGCGATCAATTTCAATTGTCAATGAACGATTATTTTTATCATTTGAAGTTTGATCAGTAACAAAAAATATTGTTCGTATACAATCTGAAAAACTAAATGAATATGAACATGTAGTGTATTCATGAATCAAAAAACAACAGTTTATTTCTATACCGCCAGTATTATTGTATTCGTTGTTAGTTAATTGTGTTTCAATTTTTGGTATTGACGTTGCATGTTTAGCATTAAATGAAATTTCTCGTTCTGAAGTTGGAGAATCAGGTATTGGTGTAGCATCCGATACTACATTTAAAACATCAACAACTTCCAAGATTATTTTTGATGGATGATCTGATTTACGAGAACGAGGACTTTTCTTTCGTCGTGGAGACTAAGAATATAGAAGAAGCAAAATACAGTAAGATTTTTTTTTGCGTATTTTGTTAACAATTTCAATCCTACTTGTGATATATCATGAACTAATTTACGTGGAATACTACTTGGAGTCGACATTGATTTTGCTAGACTATCCTCGTGTTCAGGTATGGCCGGCGGATATGTGTATCCAGTGGCTAGTGGTGTTTGTGGTGTAATAGAATTAGGATCACCTTCATGACGAGATTCATCTAGTTTTCCTAGACGACGTCTGTTTACAATTGATTCGTTATCCGAACCAGATGTTGCTAAAAGAACAAGGATTGCATGAAGAGCAAGCAACGTTTTTTTTTGTTGGAATTTATTTACCATGTTCTGTTGGTGTTTCATCAGCATCAAATGATCGTAGACGTGCATCTCGAAGTTTTCGACGAGATCGACTAGATTTTATATTTAAGATAAATTATATTAGGTAAGTGAAAAAACGGATCGGATTTCATTAACTCTATCAACAAATAATTGTTTGTTAGACAAGTTGAACTTCTCTCTAGATACGCATTTTATTGAATTGATGTTTCGTTTTTTCTTCTTCTTCTATTTGATAGAACATGTAAAACTTTAAATGCCCTTTTTATAAATTCTTACTCCTCATGCAGAAGAAAAGTTCAATACCGCGAAAAATGATCAGTTATTCGTAGCAGGACCTTTTTTTTCGCAATCTAACAATACATAGTTTAAAAAAACCGTCGTTACAGTTTCATGCACCAGCGCAGAGAGAAGCAATCGACTGTAATAATGGTCCTTCGAATATTTCCAGGTGCTCAATCTTTTTTCTTTTGAGCAATCTCAATGATTACTTCAACTTAATAAAGAACTTATGATAAGTTTCTGTTTCAATGAAATATACTTTGCGATATAATTATACGAGACTGATTTTAATATATTAAAAAAAAGAATGTACAAGCAATGATCAGTTCAGTATGAGTCAGGAAATTCCCTTTAACGTAATCGATATTTTTTGGATTGCGTGAGAAAAATTCCTTGCCATTCAATATATTTTTCTAATGAAAACCAATTTCCTGGTTGAATTGAACCTTGAAAATAGAATTACGATTTCTATATTCTTTCTTTTTAGCAAAAAAAAATGAATCTCTTGATCCAGCCCAATGTCAAACTAGAGATTGTATTCGTTCGATTGAATATGTAAAAGAAAAGTGAACTTTATCTAAACATCATCGATGTTTGATCTATATTGTATTGTCTATCCTGTCTCATCTGTTATATAATAAGGTGAATTTCCTTGACACAAAAATATATGTCATGCTATCATGAAATCAACATACCGCCGAGAAACGACTGTGCCAGATGAATTTGTAACACCTGATTCTGGTTCTGTTGATTCACTGGTTGTTGTATGCTGTCCTGATGATGATGATGCTGTTGTTGTTGAACTAATTCTGAAACTGGGAACAAGAGGTGCTGGAAGATTACGTCTTTGCGGAATTCTCTTAAAAAACAAAACCATATTTCATTATTAAACAGATTTTAATTAATGATAGAAAGAAAAAACCTACTTTTTTCTCTTTTGATGTAAGTTGTTCGTTATCAATTGTTAGCTAAATTAAAAAAAGTTACAAGAGTCAAAAATTTTTATTGTAATTCAACAAGTAAAAAGAAGTTGTAACTGTTATTACTAATCCCAAGGCGATTGTTTCATTCTATCTAGTTCGCGACACATTCCTTTTACTTAATCCCTCAGTAATGCAATAAGGAAGTTGTTCATACACGATCACAGATTGTATGTCTGTAATACGTGGGTAGTCCGAAACGTTTTTTCTATTGTATTTAAATCAAACAAACCTCTCGAGCTTCTTGTGAAAAGACGAATGGTAAATTGTTTATAATATTTTGTCGATAGTCCGAAGCATAAGTAAATGGATTACGCGCAAAATAAAGCTATAAAGTAGAAAGAATTGAACAATAGAAGTTTTCATTTATCTAAACAAATCATACTCGTTTTATTGCTGGCATTTGTCGAATTTGATCCGGTATACGAGTAATAAAATTATCACTTAAATCTAATTCTTCAACTGATTTCATTAATTCAATACCTTCATGAAGCAAAAAACTATTTAGATGTTTTTTTGTTCTCTATCACGTTTTTATTTTCTTTTACCAGATATATCTTCAATACAATTTTGGCGCATTTTCAGAGTTAATAATCGACATGGACCTTTGACTTCTGGCCATATTGGTATAATACGTAAATGATTTGATGAAAGATTTAAATGTCTTATTTGAGGTATAATCTATTAAAAGAATAAATTAGATTGTTCAAAAGAAAAATATTTTTCTTACGAACATCTAATATTTGTGAACAATCTTGTAATCGATTATGACTTAAATCAAGTGCTTCAAGTGCAACTAAATGTTTCTAGAAATAAATTTAGTTGTTTACTATATATAAAACAAGAAGATTTATTCTTCTTACTAATGATTGATCAATAGATTCAATAGAATTATGAGAAAGAAAAAGTGATTTAAGCCGTGGCCATGCTTGACGTTGTGCTAATTCTATCGAATCTCCACCACAATCACCTATTAAGTCCTTCGATTAATTAAATAGAAATATTTAAAAAATTAAGATTTCAATCGAGAAAACTTTTTTACTTCAATTTTTGTCACTGATTGAGAACAGATTAATGTTTCAAGTTGACTACGAAGTTGAGATAAACCAAGTACCATATGTAGTGGAATCTTTTTCAATTCAAGACACGTTACGTGTTGGAATGGATAGAGAAGAACATTTCCTCGAAGAGTTAGCCCATTGTGAATTATCTAATACATGCGGAAAAACAAAACAAAAGTAGAAGTTGACAGTTCGAAATAAAAGAATTCTGTTTCATAGGTTTGTTTTACATACTTTAGCAGTTTGTATTTTCTGTAAAAAGTCATGTAAAAATACTAAATCCTCTCGAAGTTTAGTCGTAATTCTTAAATGTTGAGTAGACGGTAATGGTATCATTAATGGTATTGAACTAGTTCTTGCATGACCATTGACTAGTGGTAATGCTATACTAAGTTTAGCTGCTTGAAAATAAGTATTTAATAATGTAAGCGAATCTGATGTAAAACACGCTTTACTGTCTCCATGTAAAACTCGATGTCCATTTGTACGAAGTAATTCAGCTAATTTATGAACCATTACGGCTGAAGAATTCGTTGTAGACGTCGAAGGACGACTGGTTGCCATTAAGAAGTGAAACCAAAAATAAAATAATATATCTTAAATAAATAAGAAAACAAAAGGTAGGTTTTATTTTTTTACATTCTAAAAACAGAGATAACGGACAAGATACTCTGTTTTTTTTTTTATTACAATTTAATAGAAAAGCAAGTACATCTAAAAATATAAAAATTGACATAAAATTTAATCGACAAAAAACAGTATATTTCAGGAAAAAAAAGTTTTCTATTTGATAAACATCACTGGTATTAATTTATCAGAATTTTCTTTCATAAAGAACATACATATTTAGACATTGATTTTTAATCTTCATCGTCATCAAAAGGAAAACCGGTTTGATGAGAAGAAAAATTATGATTTGCATTATTTCGAAAATCAGTTAAATAAGTAAAAAGTGCTTTTTGTGGCATCATTAATTTTTTATTTATTTTTCCTTGCGTTAATTTTTCACGTCTTTGTTCAAAGAATTGAACCTAAATATAACGAGATAAAAAAAACAACAACAAAAATTTATAATAAACATGTTCACATACCATTTGAGCACTACAAGTATGATGAAGTTCTTCAATTTGTTTTTGACATTTTGACTCACAATTGTCATATAAATCTAGACATTTCCACCAAGCATCACGTGCTTGCCAACAACTTGATAATGATGATGAACTTGATTTATTATCACTATTCGCACCAACCGTTGAATTAGTACTCATCATACAGATCAAGATGGAAGAGAGAACAAGATAAAAGTGATGATTAATATAAGGCCGATGGGTGGTACCACTCACTTCATTTCAGATTGAGGAAAACAAATGACCAATGAATAAAGAATTCAGACGACATCTATTTACTATCAGCTGTTAAGAAAATTTGGACTCCACATTAGTGCTTACTGGTTATTATATATCCATTTGTTTGTTTATTGTTTGCTTTTCACTTAGCTTTCAATAATTTAACCATTAGTAATTACAAAATTTAACTTGGTAAGTTTAGTATAGAAACAAATTTGAACATAATCGAAGATTCGAGTAGACTCTATTATTTATTTTCTAAATAAAGTCTTAGTATTTTCTTCGAAAATTATTATAAAGATATTGACAAACGAAGGTTATCTTCGTTTAATTTAAAATATCTTTGCTGTCAAATAGGTCTTCAATTATCGAAGATATACACACGCATAATTATACAACTTGTTATTCTATCTCTTCGGAGAAATAGCTTTGATATAGTATATGTGTATCAATTGATGCATATCTTCTTTGACCTAGATAGGCACATATTATATCGATATATTATAGGCTTTATTTTATTCATTTTGCTTTTATTTTTATAATTAGATTGAACAATCATGGCTGAAGTAGTACAACGTCATTTGGAAGATATGCTATCTGAATTCGAACAGGCCAAAAACATCGGCATGTTCACAGAAGCTGAAATTAAGTATGTGAATAATTAAAACAAACATCAGTTCTAAAGTTGCTGAACATTTTTCATGTGAAACATATGTGGGTTAGATTGACTAAATTTTCGTGTATGCTCTATCGATAATAGATGTCCGGTTTAGATTACTCTCAATTGTTTCCTGTATATGTTTGATTATTCTTTCTGGTTAAGATTAAACCTTTGAACATTCTCTCATGAATGACCTCTTGATGCAATAATTGAACTTTTTCTCTAACCTGTCTTTCTTGTTCTGTTAAAATTAATTTTTTCAAGATACAATGTTCATCGTTTTTTTTTGTTCTTTTTGAAGAAAAATAGTTCGTACAAGACGACGACATGAATATAAGATCATTCGACGTACAAAAGAAAAAGAATGTTACCTTGATTATATAAAAGTAATTGAAGTTTGATGCAAAAAAAACTTTCTTCAATGATAAAAATCTAATTTTAGTATGAAACTCATCTTCTTAAACTTGTACAACTGCGGCGTGAGGTAAATATTTCTATAAAAGTATTTTCATAAAATATAAAAAGTATTCTTTATAGAAATTGAAATTAGGAAGAATCTATAAGAAAGATGAAATCGATTTAGCCATTAAAAGACGTGTTGAACGACTCTTTCGTGTAAGAAGAACAACGAGTTGTTTTGATTTGTTCATTCTAACTTTTCTTTATTCAGAGTGTATGCCATCGATTTAAAAACGATATTAATTTATGGTTAACATTTATTGAATTTCTCAAAAAACAAGTAATTAAAAAACAAGAAAAACTTTTTATATTTATTAATGTTTACGTAGCATGATTACTCAACAGCATCAAGTACATTTACAAATGCATTACATACACATGGCAATAAATATTGTAAATCATAGGCATTATTCCTAATAAAATTTTTCATTTGTGAAATTTTCTCAAAAATAGGGTTATGGATAATGGCAGCAAAATTTGAATTAGAAACGATGGTATCTCCATCATCAGCTCGTTCATTATTTCAACGTGCTCTTCGTTTAATGCCACAAGAAAAAAAACTTTGGCTTGAAGTAAATTATTGAAGCGGAGCCTGTTTTTGTTCTTCTATTAATTTAATTTAATTAATTTAATAGTATTTTAAATTTGAATTACTCTATGTGGAATTGATACAAAAGCGCCAAAAAGTTCTTGACCGAACAAAACAAGAAACGCAAGATGATAATGAAGACGACGCTATATTACAAGGCAAAATTGTAGAAATTGTTTTTGTTAATGCACAATCAGCGATTGAAAGTAAATAACAAATCGTTTAGAAAAGATTTTATTTTCGTTTTCATAGGTGATCCAGTGTTTATTTGTTCGTTTGTTAAAATTCTTAATGAATTTTCAAAACTTTCATTTGTTGAACGATTAATTGATCAGATTTATTCAGTGTAACAGCAACATTTAAAAAGAAAAATTGTATAATATGTTTTATTTCGTATATAGCTTAAAAGAAAAATATAGTTCTAATGCTCTTGCTCAATCATTATTAGCCCAACGTCCGTTAATAAATGAACGTAAAATGATTGACGAAGCAGCTAAAAAAGATCAAGACGTTAGTAAGTTGTATTTATTTTATTATTATTGTTTTTGAAAAAATTGATTTTAGGTTTTATGATCGCCATACTTGAACAACAAGCGAGAGAAAACTATGAAGAACAATTAAAAAATTCAATTGTTGATACCAGTAAATCTTTTCTTTTTAACGTTTACAGTGTTATATGAATTCTTTTGACAGATGAATTATGGAATTTATATCTTGAATTTTGTGTTCAACGTCTTCGTCAAGCATCAGATACAAACAAAATTCAGGTAAAAAGAAAATTAAAGTCAATATTTTTGAAGGTCTCCATTGATCGATACAATAAGACAAGATAGCTGCTATACTAGTTCTAAAACATCAATTTGATATATTATTCGAAAATATTTTCTTTTATTTAGCATATTTCTACCTGTGATCGAGTATTTTCATCGGCTAGTGAGCAAATATCTTTAACAGCTGAACGTTATTTAGAATGGGTAAGATAAAAATAAGCGAATTCAATTGCTTATATATGTTGCTCTCTTGTTTTTATTAGGTATCAATAGTTGATCATAATCGAGCGAAAGTTGTTATGCAAAAAGCAACTGATACTTATCCCAGTGATGCTTCCTTGTGGAATAAACGTCTATCATTATCAATTGAAGAATCTACTGATTCTAAAGCAGTAAAAAAAGAATTTTCACGTGCTTGTCAAAGTCCAGATGTTAAAGTAAAAACCTCACCTTCAAATTGAAATACTTGCAAATAATCATTTTTTTTGTCTACAGAAATCACCTTTAATCTGGAATACCGTTATCGAATATGCAGAAGAACATGATAAAAAATGGACAGAAGTATTATATGAAGTAAGAACGAAAATAATCGATCGGTTTTCCTTTTTTGCAAATTGTAATTTTCTAGCAATCTCAATTCGAATCATTTGATCTATCGGTAACATTACAATTAAAATCAAAATATTTACAATGGGTTAATCAAACAAAATCCATCAAAGAAGTTCGTGAATTATTTGACAAGTAGGTTCCGAATGAAAAATTTTGCTTTTTATTACTGATTTTTTGAAAATATTTAGATTATCTGTGCGAATACCAGCTTCTTTACCATTCTATATGGATTATGTTAAAATAGAACAATCATCATCCAATCCAGATAATAAACGTGTTAAAACTGCTTTCGAACAAGCTATTACTTACTTCGGGAAAACGTCAGCTGGTAAGAAAAACAAAATGATCAACTCTATCATCTATTTTTTTTTCTAAGATCTTTGGCTTACCTATTTGGATTATTTAAAACAACGTCAATCACTTGATTTTATTACAATATCTCGTATTCATTCTCGTGCACTTCATACGCTTGAATCAGATGAATTAACACGTTTTAATACTGAATGTGCACTAAAAAATTTGGCGTAATCTATAATTGTTCTGTTTTTTTTTTTGTTGTTATTTGTTATTTTCCGAATATGGATAAAAGCAAAATAATATTGTTAACCCATTGAAAACAAAAAACAATGATTGTTTTAATATTTCAGAGTTAATTCGTTTTTTTTTACTTAAATTTAATGGCAGATCACTGTTGTGATTCCCATTCCCATTGCCACGAATCACCATCATCGTCAAATACAACCGAGTCGAATATAAAACGACTAACATCAGATGATATTCACAAGCATGTTACATTGAATGATACTGATAATAGGAATGATGAATCACAAACTGTTTCACAATTATTTGATATAGCTTGGACAAATCAAAATGATTTACAAAGTTCATCGGTAGATACAACAGTAGATGATTATGCAAGTAAACTTCTTCATACGATCCGTTTACTTGAATCAATTGAGAAACGTATTGCAACACTTGAATTATTTAGCGATAATGAACAAATTGAAGAATTATCAACGACTAACTTACGCTATTTACTTGTATATCCTTTTCTTGCTTGGCTACATCAAACAAAACGTTCAAAACCATCACAACGACTTATTAATGTACAACATGCATTTGATTATTATGTGAAATATTTAACCATGACAAGAAATTATGGAATACATAAATATACCATACCTAAAGCACCGACAAATCAAGATTGCGAACCAACAGAACCATTATTAAGTCGAGATGTTGATATGATGAAAATGGCACAAGATCGAGCATCGAAAATTCGCGGGTGATTATTGATTTATTGAAATTTAACAAAGAAGAGACAAATCTTCGGAAAGAAAATTTTGAATTTTTCTGAAAAGTAAAAAATTTAGACATCTAATTGAGCAGCTTTTTTTATCGTATAATATGAAGAAAATAGATGAACTAATGATAATTCAATTTGAAATATTGCTTTCAATCTTTTGTTTTATTAAAATTGTAGATAGTTCAACGTTATAGTTATTCTAAAAACATTTATCAGTAACTTAACAAGTTGTCCATACTGCTCAAAGACTAGTATGTCAATGAAAGAAGATAAAATAATATATTCTCATAGAAGCTTGATTACTTGTAAAATTTCAAGTCAAAATTTTAAAATCACGTTTTCCTGTGAATATCTTCGTAATGATGGACTAATAATGCTTGACTATGAAATTATAATTTTTCTTATATTAAATTTAGGCATTTAAGACGTCGTGAAGAAGAAGAATCAATAAGAGCTTTCGAAGAAGCCATGAACCACGATTCAAGTGATGAAGAAGCGAAACGCAACTTTTATTTAAGCAAAATAAAATGGTGGATAAAAACAGCATTTGATGATCTTGATTATTTACAAGGTAATTTCGCAACTGTATGATCTCTTTTTTGCACATATTCTTATTTAGATGAACTTCGAGTTTTACTACAACGTCAATCAATAGAATCGACAAACGATGAAGAAACTCATAGAGGACCACCTAGCCGTAAACCTGCATCACGTCCTATGAAACCTTTGATAATTACACGCGATCAATTACAAGCAAAAGTATTTGGCGCTGGCTACCCAAGCATGTCAACCATGACCATCGATGAATTTTATGAAAGTCTTGCTCAACGTGGTCTAGCACCTACACCTGAACAAGTGAAAAATAATGTTGCCGGTATATTGTTATAACTCCATATGTGTTAAGTAAAACTAAACCATATAATTTTGTGTTTTATTTTATCAAGGTCCTAAATTTCCAACAGCAAGTGAAGCTGAAAAAGAAGAGATTGCAAAAGAAAAATATATCGAAAAAGATGATCCAGAAATGATAAAATATTTACGATCGATGGATGAATTTAAAGATGGTAGCCATCGTGGTGATGGAAATCGTCATAATCGTTCTTAAAACACAAACTAAACAAATTGTATAGGATTTTCTTTCTTTTATCACATTATAAATTTTCTTTTACATAAACAAGCGTCTCATTTCGTCTCCTAATTTCAGATATGTTGTTCTATTCATTTTTTAAATCGCTTGTTGGCAAAGAAGTTGTCATTGAACTAAAAAATGATCTATCTATTGCTGGTATATTGCAGAGTGTTGATCAATATTTAAATGTTAAATTAACTGATGTCCAAGTACTTGATCCAGAAAAATATCCTCATATACAATCGGTTACATCGGCATTCGTACGTGGTTCTGTTATTCGCTATATTCAATTACCACCGGATGATGTGGATACACAATTATTACAAGAAGCAACACGAAAGGAAATAACTCAACCACGAAAAGAATGATCAAAACAAAATTATCCAAGAAAATCAACATTCTATTTCTTTTTTCTTTTGTTTTTCGTCATCTTTCAGATGCTGTTTCATGTAAATAGATTCATTAGGCAAAAGCAAAAAAAAACCTAAAAGGAGAAAAATAAAACCACGGTGAACTATCTATCATTGAAGTTTTAAAATGATTATTTTCTTTTCATTTGTTTCCGGTTGTTTGCATTGTCTTTTTTACTTGAGATTAACACACACACACACACATATATATATATACACCATGTCATCATCGGTCAATTTACAGCCGATTTCGAGTTCAATACGGGTATTTCCGTTGCGTTTATCACCTAATATGGACGTTCTATCAAATATAAGAAATTTTATCAACGAAAATTCATTGCAATCTGTATTTATTATGACCTGTGTCGGAAGTGTAAAATCTTGTCGATTACGTATGGCAAATTCAATTGATGTAATAAATTTGAAGACACCACATGAAATTGTTAGCTTAGTGGGAACATTTGATAGTGAAGCTGAACACATACATGGCTCATTTTCAGATCAAACTGGAAGAGTTATAGGTGGTCATGTTATGGCTGATAGCCCAATGATTGTTTATACGACTGTTGAAATTGTTTTAGCCGAATGTGAGAATGTAGTATTTTCGAGAGAAATGGACAATGAAAGTGGCTATCCTGAATTGGTTATCAATAAAAAAAACTCTAAACATATGAAGAAAAATGAGTAAACAAAGGCATCGTTTAACTTATTTCTTTTAGATACATCCTACGATGACATCAACAGAGAACGCTCCAACACCAAATAACGATCCTGGATCGTTTTCTGTATGACTTTTACTTGATTTTGTTTTTTAAATAAAAACAAAATGGTTTATGTTTTTTTTTTAGTCATTTCGTTCTACAAATGATCATGATACACCTAGTCAAAATCATTCATTTGACTCGACACCACCTATACATTCATCTCATCATCAGAAATTTATTCATTATCAAAATACACAATCATTAGAAGCATCACCATCCATCGTTCGGAATCCTTCACCACCACCCATTGATAATCTCAGTCGTGCTGATATGGTCGGTGACGAAATGTATTCGAAATCATGGTTTTGTCAAGTTTTACTTAAATTAATTAAAGTAAAAGCCTATTCACCGATAGAAAAACTTGTATTTACTTCTATCTTTAATTGTTTATTGCCAGTTTGTTGCACCACAGCAAATTCACGAGGAAGCATTTTCAACTATTCGTCAACAGGGTGATGATTTTCTGTCAACGCATTCTAATAAAATACAAGAACTAGATGAAACATTTGAATCTGAACTATGTGAATTATGGGATGTAAGCATGAGTGCTGATGTAGCGCATCTATTAATTGAATTCAATTCACTTGATTTATTCAATGTCGTACTAATCGAATGTAAAGATAAACGTTGTACAGAAATTGTACTTGGTATTCTATCAAATATGGCTTGTTGTAAACGAAATCTTAACCAAGACGAACAAAGTGTGAGCGTAGCTCGATGCATAATTCAACATACAAATCTTTTTTCGACAATATTATCAATATTAACAAGTGATGATTATTCAGATTGTCCAACACTTGTACAATTATTTCGTTTAATATATACATTAACTGTGCGACAAGATACACGTTCGTTAATATTAAAACGTATTCAATTAACATATGAACCATTATGTTTTATATTTCAATCTTGTATTAATAAGGAATTACTTGAACAATGTAGTTGTTTATTACGTGTGCTATTAGATGAATGTAATTTATTTGAACATAACGAGCAATCAGAAGTATTTTATTTATTTTTAACATCCATTACAACAGCTACTAGTGCATTAATTGAAAATGAAACAGTGACAGAAAATAATACATTAGAAAATCTATTTAATTGTCTACAAATCTATACGACGAATGAGCATTTTATTGATATGTTAAATGAACATTGTCAAACAATAATGAAACTTACTGAAAATATTCTTAATCGTTTAGTACACGATGATATTGTACAAATACGTAGTGTCTTATTGTTATCGTGCATATCGATATGTAATTATTTTCTTTATAAACATGGATTAACAATTGTTAATAAAGAGTTATTACAATATTTTATTATCATTGGACATACATGTTATAAAGATAAGCAAAGACGTGAACATCAAAAACATGTGATGCGTCGACAACGTTCAAGAACACATTCGCATTCATCGAATAAACGAAAAGATGGAGATGAATTTGATACAAATGGAAATACAGGTTTGTTATGAGCTTATACATTTGAGCAGAGATTTATAGAAATTTTCTATTTTATTAGTTGATGATGACAGTTTATCCAAAAGTCACCATGCAGTAACAAATGCCGATTGGGATGATGACATAGAAGTTCAATCGACAACAAAAGTAGAATTTGATCGATCAACAAGCGAAGATTTAGCAACAACATCATATACACTTGTCGATGAACTTTTTCTTGAACTTTTCTATCGTGGTGTTAAACAAGATGCGTCTAAATTAACGGACAATAATCCATCTCTATTTAAACAATTGAGTCAAGATCAGCGAGAAACATTTAGAAAGATTATCAAACATTTTTGCCATTTAGATAAACGTCTAGATGACATGCTTGACTTATGATCGATGTTTTTTCTTTTTGTCTACTTGATATTAACTTACTTTCTGTGGAGAGAAAAGAAAATATATTTCTATAAATATGATATGTAATCATGCATTTATAAAGCTAAAGCCAAGATAGAATCTAACGTAATTATCGGTAAAAGTAAACATTTAAAAATAACTATCATTGAATTGCTATGGTAGGCAAATATTTGCTGTTTGACGAGAGTTGTTCAAATATTACATCGTTTTTTACATGAGGTCAATAAACTCCGATGAGTTTGAAAGCGCTTACACAGTTTTACTCCTCTAATGTTACACAAAATTATTATTCTCCATAAGAACAAAACGATATAAATTATTTATAAATAGTTATAGATTCAGCAAACGAGAAAGTTTTGTAGACAGAGATCTTTTTTCGTTTTGCACCAGAAATTTAACAAAAAAGATTAATGAGTGAACTTGATTTACATATTCTTGGTTATCATGCGCATATACCAGCTAGTATACTGAAAGATTATATATGAGAATTTCTTGATTGCTTATTTAATAATGCACTTTTACCACGTTTACTCGACAATTTTCTAAATATACCTTAGAAAACTAAAATTATTTGATGGCATCATGAACCATTCTGTTTTCATTCGTCTATGATTACCCGACGATGTTTTCTCTGTGTCTGCTAGTTTTGTGGTATTGTACATTATCATGTGCTTTATTTTGCACACATCGTATGATCGAAAACAAATCTCTCTCTTTGTATATAAATATATCGAATAAAGTGTTTTCCGCTATCATTTCGTATTTCCATTGCATAGTTGTATCGTCATTCTCTGTTTATTAAGATATCTATTTTTAATAATGCATACATTGATATCAACGATTATGAACAAATGCATCAACAAACATAACGTATCATTGTAAGTTAGTGGCGTATCTAGGGGTGGGCTAATGTGGGCGCCGCCCTCCCACCGAGGAACTTTGCCCACCCACCGATAAGAAAAAATGTTTTATAAAAACTTTGAATTTTTTTCGATTTCCTTGCATATTAAGATTGTTCGAAATTCTATCAGCTAGTGGTATCAATAGGATATACACTCCTAATATCGCCCACTAGAACAGAAAGAACATTCAAAAAAATGAAACTCATCAAAACGAATGCACGTAATAGTACAGGATAATTTACTTAGTTTTACTAGTTATCTTCAGTTTGATGTATTTCAACAAAATATCAGTAGTGTTTAATTTCTATATGATTTGGTAGAGCACTGACTACTCTACCTCCCTGTAGTTCTCATTTGATTTTTTCGCATCTTGATAAGAATGTCAAAACATGTCTATAACTGGTTAAATACAATTTTTGCGCTCGCACATTTCACTCAGATAAAATCCGATTGTTACAAAAATAATTTTAGATTGAAAAGATTCGTACTGCTTAAGGTTGCACAAAGTATTAAATGAAACTGTTTTAAATTGAAGGAGGAAGCTAAACTTTACTGTTGAAGCTTTAGACACTTTTGCACCACTAGATTTTCGATACTATTCGCATGATCTCAAATAGAGTCCTGCAGGTTAAGGTTACAAAAAAAAATATTTAGAGTATAAGTAGGATGTAGCTCATACAAATAAAAATTTTATAGAGTAGAACTTAATATATATTTCTGATATCTTTTTGATCAAAAACAGTGTAAAGGGTGATATCATAGTCTAAATCGAATGGGCAGAATAACAACGAACGAAAAACAATGGTCTATTGTTTAGTACTATTTTTACTTTACATAAGCTGACGAGTTCAGTCACTTTTGATTATTTGTCTAGTAAATATGCATGAAAATGTAATAAAAAATGTCTTCGAAATAGGGGTGGTACTTTATATTTACTTTACTTTTTAAAGATAAATAAAACCTTTATATTTAAAAAATAAAGATAAATGAAATCTTTATATTTATAAAATAAAGAATGAAGAATTTATGAAATCTTTATTCTTTAAAAAATAGAGAAAAGGCAAAGTAGCTTTATCTTTATTTAATAACGATAAAATAAAGAATAAAGAAAACTATTTTTCCTTAAAACTCCAAAATTTGGCCATCTCCCGATAGTTCGAAGAAAATTAAGAAGTTCAAGGCTAAAAAATTTTGAACACTAGATTTTTTTCCATAAATGATTTATGCCTCACCATCATTTGCTAGTATTATTTCATACTGCAATGTCAGTGATGATAAGCAAGAACTGCAATCAATGTTTTCTGTTATTATACAAATTATTCATCTATTTACCAGTGATTGTAGAAAATCTTTCTTTTTTCTTTATTTTAACTTTATTTTTACAAATAAAGATTATCTTTATCTTTTTTTTTAAAGAATAAAGATTTCATAAATTCTTTATTCTTTATTTTATAAATATAAAGATTTCATTTATCTTTATATTATAAATATAAAGGTTTTATTTATCTTTAATCTTTAATATAAAGATAAATAAAGATAAAGCAACACCCCTACTTCGAAATCATCTCGACATGAACGTATTGTTAGTACAAACGCGCGAGTTTTGGAAGAGAGAACACTGTAAAAAAATTCGTAGAACAATAAACCCTAGTACGTTTGGAAAGTCTTCCTAAACCCTTAAAAGGTTTATTCGGGTTTGCTAAACCCTTTAAGGGTTTTTGTGTGAAAGGGTATCTGAGGAAAAGGGTATTTGAAAATAAAAAGGGTTTATGAGTAGCAAAAAAGGGTTTATGAGTAGCAAAAAAGGGTTTTTTGTTCTACCTTTTGTGAAAAGGGTTTAATATTCTACAATACAGGGTTTATTGTTCTACGTTTTCATAAAAAGGGTTTATTATTCTACGGTACAGGGTTTATTGTTCTACCTTTTCATGAAAAGGGTTTATTGTTCTACGTTCTCATGAAAAGGGTTTATTATTGTACGGTTCAGGGTTTATTGTTCTACACTGTAAATAAAAAGAGTAGAATAATAAACCCTTGCCCTTTCGACAAATCATACTAAATCCTTGAAGGGTTTATGACAACGCCATAAATCCTTTAAGGGTTTATGAAACGAAGGGTATATGAGAAAAAGATGATACAAGAAAAAAATGGTTTATTAATCTGAGACTTAGGGAGAAGGGTATNTTATATACAAAGAAATAATTTTTTAAATGCAAAATATTTTTGTCTATCATTTTATGACAATTAAAAATGTAATAACAGTTGTTCCGCTTAACTTTATATCATCTTCAGTTTCCTATAAAGTTTCGTTTGATTTAAGTAGCATTTCTTACTTCATATTGATATCATACGACTGACCGAATGGATAACATCTTGGGACTATCAACCAATACATCTCATAATCGAACCTAGGACAACGCAGTAAGTTCTACAATCTTAATTTTAATCTGGTAGATAAATTACAAAAAATACGTTGTGATGCGCATTGTAAACACAAACGAAAATGAATCATGTAGTGTACTCATTTGTTTTTGGATTCTTTTTTCTGAAAGATTGTTAACGAGTTTTTTAAGGCGCTTGTCTGATTGGAAATTGTAATAAACCCTTTTGGGGTATGGAACAAAAGTAATATACCCTTTAAAGGGTTTATGAAAGTGCAACGTATCATAAATCTTTTAAGGGTATATTAATATACGCTTTTTATTTACAGTGTAGTCAATGAATAATCATTCACATTGAGTATCACTTCTGGAGACACCCGTTGTTTACTTTGCTTTTTTACAACGTTGACGACGGCGAGTAAGTTTTCCATGAAAACTGTCCATTTGTTGAAAATGTATCTTGAGGGGGTGGGTGTGGGATGGATCAAGAGTTTAACCTCCTCCACCTACACACCCATACACCACACCCGGTTAATTAAATCCTCTTGCTGTTGGAACGAATGCTTTCAGAGAAAAAATCTAACAGCTGTCACAGCACTTGAGGGTGGGTGGGTGGGTGTGAGTTAGAATTGAAAATAACCAGACCCACAGCCACACCCTTCAAGATCTTCCGGTTCAAGTTAAAAAGTTATTATTTGAATCAGTATGAAACTTGGTTTTGTAACTATTAGTTTTACAGATCCAATATATCTTCGAAGATGTCTGTTTATTGAATATGTAAAAAAAAGAACATTCTCAATTAATTGTCAATAACCTCTGTTGAAATCAAGAAAAAATATAGAGCTTGTATTAGCGGGCATTATACAGTAGATAGAATTAAGTGATGAAACTGCAAAAATGTGTACTGTAATATCCAAAAGCAAGAGAAATATATAGAAGGCCATACAAAAATGCTGTGATTGTGTTCTTCGTTCTTTTGTAGTTCCTATCTGTGCTACATTCTAGAATGTTCGCTCACAAAATTACTTATTGAAGAAAATTATTAGCTAATCAACGAAATTCTAATGAAAAATAGAAAACAAAATCAATATTGTTTTATAACGAGATCTCACAATTTTCGACGTTTTCAATACATACCATGATGAGAAGATCACAATCGACACTCCATATCGCGCATCGAAACATCCCAGGTCGACTAATCCGACAACGAATCCTATAGGAACTTGATAATATCCTACCATCCGATACAATTCTATTGGATTTCGGGTCGAGGAATCGATGTCGGATCCGTAAGTCGGATTCCGTGAAACTTCCGAGGATATCCAACTGTCGGAACCGATAAAGATTTCGTTTATTGGATTTTCATTGGGTATTTATTGGATCCACTGAATTTCCGATAATATTCTAATATCGGAACCAATGTAGATCCCAAAATTGGATTCCTACTTAAACACATTGATGAATCTCATAACAAACTCGACTTGAATTTGAGAGTATTTTCTAAGCCTGGACAATCCTATGGGATTCCGGGTCCTCGAATCTATAACAAAACAGTCAATTGAATTCTTGTGAACATCCGATAATACTCAACTGCCGGAACCCATGAAGACTCCGCTAATTATATTCTAATTTGGTATCTATATAATCCGATGAATATTCGATAGTGTTCTACTATTTTCATTTACACAAATTCCAA